CAACCCTCCCTCCCTCCGTCCTTCCTTCTCCATCTCTAATCTACACAGAAGTTTTTTTCTGTGTGCTCCTCAGTTGGACTTCTCTTTTGAGGAGCACACAGAATGTTGGGACCTCAAAATGTTTTCGTATGCTGCCCAGTTTGACTCCTCAAACCCATACACTCCAGCAAGTCCAACTTACAGGTGGCTTTCTGCACCACTCTCGATCTCTCCCTACCACCCTTCACCAGTTGGCAGTGGACCGTAAGGGCGACTTCCTGGCCGCTGCAGACGATTCAGGGCAGGTCAAGGTGCGTGGGGGGTAGAGCAGAGGGAGGTTGCGTGCTGATCCGAATGCCTCTCCTGGTCAACCCTCTCGCTGCATTTGAACCTATTGGCGCTCCCGTAGAGTCCCCTGACCTGACCGTGTCTGCGAGGTGACTTTTGAGTCGACTCAAAAGTCATCCCTGACCGTATCTGCTTCCCTCCTTGCTCCCAGCGCGCTGCTCCCAGTGTTTGGTTTGGGTGGAGATGACCACATGCTCCTTTCATGCTTCCACATGCTGCAGGGTGTTTTTGAGAATTCTCAAAAACACCCTGCAGCATCATGGTTTGGGTGAAGATGACCTTCTCCTTTCATGCTTCCACATTCTCTGCCCCACCCGCCCTCCTTGTTACCCTCATCAGGACATCATCACCCAAACCAAACACTGCACCTCACTGTACTGTTCTCCATCCCATGTCGTATAATCGTATTCCCCTAAGCTCCTTCGCTCACGTCATCAGCCTCATCAACCACTCACTGCACCGCACCGAACCGTTTTCCATTCCATGACTTACCCCCCTGTGCTCCTTTGCTCAGGTCATCAGCCTCATCAACCACTCACTGCACCGCACCGAACCGTTTTCCATTCCATGACTTACCCCCATGTGCTCCTTTGCTCAGGTCATCAGCCTCATCAACCAGTCACTGCATCGGACCCTTCGGGGCGTGCACAGCTCTGTAAAACACTCTCGAGGGGCCAACCACTCCCGGCACCACACTGAACCGTTCTCTATCCCGTGTCTTGCCCCCCTCTTCTCCCCCCTCATCAGGTCATCAGTCTCATCAACCACTCGCTGCATCGAACCCTTCGAGGCGTGCATAGCTCGGTAATGCAGCTCTAGCTCTCACGAAGGTGAAAGGTTGACTACTCTACGATTATTGAGATGCCTCAACAATCCCTTCGGGACGTGCATAGCTCGAGGTAATACAGCTCTAGCTCACGCAGTTGAAAGGTTGTCTCCCATATGATACACACCATGCATATCCCGTGCACGAATTGCAGCAGCAGCGCTGTTCAGTTTTCCCTGCCTTGTGCGTTTTGATCTCCACCTTCTATGCCTACAACTCCCAGTTTCTTTTCACTTCACACCTTTCATTCAGTTTCACCCACACTCTGCTCAACTTTTCAGGGCATTCTCAAAAATACCAGAATTCTCAAAAATACCAGAATTCTCAAAAATACCAGAATTCTCCAAAATACCTTGCAGCATCAGTTTCACCCACACTCTGCTCGAAATTTTTTCCTCTCTCCCTTCCCTCATCTTCCTTCCCTTCCTCTCTTTCCCTGCTCTTCGTTCTCTTCCCTCCTCCTCCCGCCCTCAATCTGCTTCCCTCACTTCCACCACTGTGCTCTACACCATATTTGTCCCCACTGCAGATCTGCAGCTCTGTTCTCTTCCACCCCAAGCAGCCGTGGCAGTGTGAGTTCTGAGACGTCTCTGTTTGGGCCTAGACTTTCCATCCAGCTTCTCTCCTCTTTTTCTCTCCTCCTCTCCTTCTCTCCTCTCCTCCTCCCCTTCTCTCCGTCTCTGTGCTGACTTAGACTTTCCAGCTTCTCTCCTCTCTTCCTCTCCTTCTCTCCTCCTCTCCTCCTGTCTTCTTCTCGCTCCCTCCCCTCTCACTGATTCTGCATCTCACCGTTGCTCTGCTCCATCTGTCTCCAATCTTTCCAAGCTTGTGCATGCGCCTCAACCAGCTTGTGCATGCGCCTCAACCAGCTTGTGCATGCGCCTCAACCAGCTTGTGCATGCGCCTCAACCAGCTTGTGCATGCGCCTCAACCAGCTTGTGCATGCGCCTCAACCAGCTTGTGCATGCGCCTCAACCAGCTTGTGCATGCGCCTCAACCAGCTTGTGCATGCGCCTCAACCAGCTTGTGCATGCGCCTCAACCAGCTTGTGCATGCGCCTCAACCAGCTTGTGCATGCGCCTCAACCAGCTTGTGCATGCGCCTCAACCAGCTTGTGCATGCGCCTCAACCAGCTTGTGCATGCGCCTCAACCAGCTTGTGCATGCGCCTCAACCAGCTTGTGCATGCGCCTCAACCAGCTTGTGCATGCGCCTCAACCAGCTTGTGCATGCGCCTCAACCAGCTTGTGCATGCGCCTCAACCAGCTTGTGCATGCGCCTCAACCAGCTTGTGCATGCGCCTCAACCAGCTTGTGCATGCGCCTCAACCAGCTTGTGCATGCGCCTCAACCAGCTTGTGCATGCGCCTCAACCAGCTTGTGCATGCGCCTCAACCAGCTTGTGCATGCGCCTCAACCAGCTTGTGCATGCGCCTCAACCAGCTTGTGCATGCGCCTCAACCAGCTTGTGCATGCGCCTCAACCAGCTTGTGCATGCGCCTCAACCAGCTTGTGCATGCGCCTCAACCAGCTTGTGCATGCGCCTCAACCAGCTTGTGCATGCGCCTCAACCAGCTTGTGCATGCGCCTCAACCAGCTTGTGCATGCGCCTCAACCAGCTTGTGCATGCGCCTCAACCAGCTTGTGCATGCGCCTCAACCAGCTTGTGCATGCGCCTCAACCAGCTTGTGCATGCGCCTCAACCAGCTTGTGCATGCGCCTCAACCAGCTTGTGCATGCGCCTCAACCAGCTTGTGCATGCGCCTCAACCAGCTTGTGCATGCGCCTCAACCAGCTTGTGCATGCGCCTCAACCAGCTTGTGCATGCGCCTCAACCAGCTTGTGCATGCGCCTCAACCAGCTTGTGCATGCGCCTCAACCAGCTTGTGCATGCGCCTCAACCAGCTTGTGCATGCGCCTCAACCAGCTTGTGCATGCGCCTCAACCAGCTTGTGCATGCGCCTCAACCAGCTTGTGCATGCGCCTCAACCAGCTTGTGCATGCGCCTCAACCAGCTTGTGCATGCGCCTCAACCAGCTTGTGCATGCGCCTCAACCAGCTTGTGCATGCGCCTCAACCAGCTTGTGCATGCGCCTCAACCAGCTTGTGCATGCGCCTCAACCAGCTTGTGCATGCGCCTCAACCAGCTTGTGCATGCGCCTCAACCAGCTTGTGCATGCGCCTCAACCAGCTTGTGCATGCGCCTCAACCAGCTTGTGCTGCTTTGGGATGTGGCGCATGCACTCTCTATCCCTCCCCCGTGCTTGCCTGCTAACCCCCTCCTCTTACCCTCACCTTCTCTCCCCCCTCTTTCCCCTCTCCCCCTCCCCTTTTCCTCTCCCCCTTCTTCCCCACCAGAACATTCTGTCGCTTTGCTCCCCCGTCCGCCCCTCTTCTCGCCTCTGGGGGAAACGACCGACTCGTGCTGCTCTGGGATGTGGCACACGCACTCTCTCCCTCCTCCTCCTCTTCCTCCTATCTCTCCTCCTCGCCCTCTTCTCCTGCTTCCTCCTCCTTTGCCTGTTCGCCCCGAGCTAGAGAGGCCAGTGAAGCGGAGAGTGCTGATAGTGAGTCTGACTCAAACAAGGATGAAGGGCGGAAAGCGGCAGGTGGGAGGGAATCGTTGGCTCCACTCATTCGCATACAGCATGGACGGAAGGTGAGATCGGGGGTGGAGGAGGGGGGGGGGGGGGGGGTGGTGGGGTGTGTGTTGGAGGGAGGCAGAGCAGAGTGTTTGGGGCAGGGGTGGGGTATTCAGGGAGGATATTATATACACGGATGGGGGGAAGGTGTGTGTTAGGGATCCTGTTAAGTTCTGGAGGGAGTGGGGATATGAGGAAGGTCAGTTGCATAATTTTATAACGTTCTCAAATCGCGGTTCTTTGATTGTGCTGCACATTGCCACACGCATATTTTTGCCTCTTCCTTTGATATCTGATTTAAATGCCTTTGGTTCTGCCTTTTATTGGCGTATGCCTCTGGTTGGCACGTGGCAGGTGAATTTTCTGTCCACTTCTGTCGGAGTACAAGGTCGAAAGATTTTTGTTGCTGACACATCCAAGGTGGTCTCTGTTTATGACATCCCTTCATAATCTGAATCGGCTATGTTGTGTATAGGTGCTGCCCTATTATCATTGTAGATCCTCCTAATCAATGGGTGTGAATACATTCTTAGGATGAGTCCATTTACCTCATATTCGTTGATCGACCATCTTTTTAACGTCTTCACGTAGTTCACAGCGCACAACCACTGTACCGTTCTTTGCACCTCAGCATGTCCGTTAAAAGACACGTCCTCCTCCTCCACGTGGAAGGCACAGCCTTCGTCAACTCGCCACAGCCACAGCCTCGTAAGCCGATTAGGACAAAGTTGGCATCTGAACCACACATCTGACAGAATGGATTGCTCCCTTGGGGTAGTCCTGACGAAGAAGGGATCAACGCCAGCACGATGGGAGATTCCAACGAGACAATCAACGGTGAGTCTCGAGCCTCAGTGTGTGCGTCAGAGAGACCATTCCACGTGGCGGCAAAGCTGGGATGGCCAGCAGCTCATATACTTTCGAATGCCACGTCAGCCTGGATCTTCCCGCTTTTGGTCGAGCTTGTGGTGGTGACCCTGATGATTGGTTCGGCCAGGCTGCGTAACGAAACTTGCTTCAAACGAGTATGGCTGAGAGGGTCTCCCTAGGAGCTTTCTAGGCGAATCCTGGGACCCCCTTTGCAAGAAAGAATATCGTCATTTTCTCATACGTGCCTTCAGGAGTTCCTTATTCTGCTCGTGTTTGACTGTCCGCTGATTCTACAACGAGCAGTGTAACTTAATTCCTGCTTCAGTCACCAGCAACCATGGCTTCCCTCATCGCTAAGACCCCCGTCGCAGCGCAGACGGCGACGCTGAAGTCGTCGTTCCTGGGCTCCAAGCCGCAGGCGAAGGCCGCGAGCGCTGCGCTGCCAGTGAAGAAGTCCGACGCGCGCGTGGTGTGCCAGGCTGGTGACCGTTGGGGTGCGCTGGGCCGCGATATGTCCGACGACCAGCAGGACATCACCCGTGGCTATGGCCTGGTCGATGCCGCCTTCCAGGTGAACCGCCGGACCCCAGCTCTTTTCGATGTCAGCTCCTCTCCGTGTTAGTTACTTTGGAAAACTGCTCCTGGATGTGAATGCAAGTTGGAGTTGCACTGGGGGAGGAGTTGAACGGAAGCTGGCATGAAATGCAGAATCAGGCTTCGTTATTCGTGTTTTTTTTTTTTTTCTTCGTTTTTTTTTTCTCCCTCCTGTTTGTGTATTCATCTTCGTTACCTGACCTGGTGTTGTGGTTCTGCGTGCAGGGTGCTCAAGGCATTGGCACGCACAAGGCTGTTCTGTCGTCGTACGACTACGTCAGCCAAGGCCAAAGGAGGTAATTTACTTAGCCAACCGTGATTTTTTCGTTCAAACTGTTCAATCCTTGACATCCTACTGTTATTTGTGATACGAGCACCCACGTCTCACGACGTGAAGTTTTTACATGTTGTTCATGATGTGCAATGCTTATTCCGAAATGTCGCTGCATGAAGTGTTGCGTGGTGCAATGCTTATTCGTACACGTCATGGCTTGTTATTTCGCGTCCTGGCGTGTGCATTTCTTATTACCTATCCGTCATGGCATGGTGGTGCGTGCAGCCTGCAGTGGGACAACACCAAGGACGGCTACTACATCGCTCCCGCGTTCATGGACAAGGTCGTCGTGCATCTTGCCAAGAACTTCATGAAGCTACCCAACATCAAGGTAAATATGTTGTTCCGTGCCTCCCTAATCGTCCATTGCATGGCTTCTTGAATACTTTTGTTTTCCTTCCTCTTTGGACTTCGTGCGTAGCACAATCGGCATTGATTTGATGTCATGAATAGCGTTCGAAATAACGAAAAGTGCGAACCATCCATCACGGTGCTTTCATCCATGTCCCACTCGCTCTCTCCTTGCAGGTGCCGCTCATCCTGGGAGTGTGGGGAGGCAAGGGTCAGGGCAAGACATTCCAGATGGAGCTCATCTTCGCCAAGCTCGGCATCAAGTGCGTCGCCCGCCTTCCCTCTCTTTGTCGCTCTCCACTTCCTCGTTGTCGTTCGCCCTCTCTCCCTTTTCGTCGCTCGCCCTCCCTCCCTTATCGTCGCTCGCCCTCCCTCCCTTTTCGTCGCTCGCCCTCCCTCCCTTTTCGTCGCTCGCCCTCCCTCCCTTTTCGTCGCTCGCCCTCCCTCCCTTTTCGTCGCTCGCCCTCCCTCCCTTTTCGTCGCTCGCCCTCCCTCCCTTTTCGTCGCTCGCCCTCCCTCCCTTTTCGTCGCTCGCCCTCCCTCCCTTTTCGTCGCTCGCCCTCCCTCCCTTTTCGTCGCTCGCCCTCCCTCCCTTTTCGTCGCTCGCCCTCCCTCCCTTTTCGTCGCTCGCCCTCCCTCCCTTTTCGTCGCTCGCCCTCCCTCCCTTCTCTCGTCGCTCGCCCTCCCTCCCTTTCTTCGCTCGCCCTCCCTCCCTTTCGTCGCTCGCCTTCCCTCTCTTTTCGTCGCTCGCCCTCCCTCCCTCACCGTCTCTCGCCTTCCCTTCCTTTTCTGGTTTCATCGGTTTCCCTGCTCCTCGTCTTCTAGTATTAACCACTTACCAGAGATTAGTGGCTGAAACGTCTCAACAAATACCACCTCATCACCAGTCACGGAACAAATTCCTGGGAGCAATTCGTTCTCGCCGTCGTCAATCTTCCTTTCCTCCTTCCCGCGTCTCTCCAACCCCTTTCCTCCCCTCCACCTCCCCCCTTCCCTCCCCCTTCCCCGCAGCCCCATCATGATGAGCGCGGGAGAGCTGGAGTCCGGGAATGCCGGCGAGCCCGCGGCGCTGATTCGGCAGCGGTACCGCGAGGCGTCGGACGTGATCAAGAAGGGCAAGATGTGCTGCCTCTTCATCAACGACCTCGACGCGGGCGCGGGCCGCATGGGCGGCACGACGCAGTACACGGTGAACAACCAGATGGTCAACGCCACGCTCATGAACATCGCCGATAACCCCACCAACGTGCAGCTGCCCGGCATGTGAGTGACGGGGGATCGCGGGATCGTGGAAGCGGTTGAATTGCATGAGGATGTGATGACGTAAGGAATGCTGTGGGGGGCCGGGATGGGGTGGTGGAGAGGGGAGGTGGGCGTGAACGAGCCTGACTGATCCTCAGATGCCTCCCGGACATAATCACGATAATATGCGTTGACTCGTTGGTTTCTTCCCTTGGGCTGGTTTCTTCCCTGTGTGCTGACTTATATGCTCAACTCGCCCCTCCCCTTGCCCTCGCCCCTCCCCTCGCACCACGCCTGCTATGGTGGTTCTCCTCTTTAACCGTGCAGGTACAACAAGGACGAGATCCCCCGCGTGCCCATCATCGTGACGGGCAACGACTTCTCAACGCTGTACGCGCCGCTGATCCGCGACGGGCGCATGGAGAAGTTCTACTGGGCGCCCACGCGCGACGACCGCATTGGCGTGGCGCAGGGCATCTTCCGCCTCGACGGTGTCCCTGAGCAGGACGTTGTGACCCTTGTCGACACCTTCCCCGGCCAGTCCATTGGTACGTGCGTGCTTGCGTTGTGAGTACGTGAGTTTCTGTATACGTGCTGGAGAGTCCACCGCATTGGCGACGCGCAGGGCATCTTCTGCCTTGACGGTGTGCCTGAGCAGGACGTGGTGACCCTTGTTGACACCTTCCCCGGCCAGTCCATTGGTACGCTTATGGCATGGGGTGTGTCCACTGGCCTATCTCAACGCGCTAACCTGCATTGTCTGTCGTTGGCATGGGGTGTCCATTGGTGGTGCGCCCAGCTCAGCAAGTCCAAGATCTCAGCACTCTTTCCACGACACATCTCACCTCCTGCATCCCTTTCCACCGCTTTCCACCACTTCCCGCCCCTCTCCACCATTTCCCGCTCCTCTCCACCACTTTGCACCCCTCTCCACCACCACTTGTCACTTGCAGATTTCTTCGGCTCCCTGCGCGCGCGTGTGTACGATGACAAGGTGCGCAAGTGGGTGGGTAAGATCGGTGTGGACCAAGTCTCAAAGCACCTTTTACTCACCTCCCACACCTTTCCACCTCTTTCCACCACCCATCAGATTTCTTCGGTGCCCTGCGCGCGCGTGTGTACGATGACGAGGTGCGCAAGTGGGTGGGCAAGATTGGTGTGGACCAGGTCTCAAAGCACCTCGTCAACTCGCGGACGGGCCCGCCGAAATTCGACCAGCCGAACATGAACCTGGAGACGCTGCTGGCGTACGGCAACATGCTGGTGAAGGAGCAGGAGAACGTCAAGCGCGTGCAGCTCGCCGACACCTACCTTGCATCGGCCGCTCTGGGTGACGCCAACCGCGACCAGATGGAGCAGGGAACCTTCTTTGAAGGTGCGTTCGCTTGTTCCAATCCACTCTGGAGGTTGTCGTGTCGCAGCTGGGTTTGACACATCTGGGCTTGTACCAGCTAGGCTTGTTGAGATGGCGTCCACGAGATATCACCAGGGCTGCTCTGATTGCTTTGTTTCGATACTAGAGGACTAACCTGTCTGATTGCTATTTTCATTTCTCTACCTCTCTTCCTGCAGGTGGCTATGCCCAACAAGTCGAAGTGCCGGTTCCAACAGGCTGCTCTGATCCCTAGATGCTCCTGTTCCAGTGTGGACTGCAACCTTATTTCCCTTCTCATTCGTTCTTGTCCCTCTTCCCGCAGGTGGCTATGCCCAACAAGTGGGAGTGCCGGTGCCATCAGGCTGCTCTGATCCCAACGCTGTTAACTACGACCCCACCGCCCGCAGCGACGACGGCAGCTGCGTCTATGACTTCGCCCAATAAGCTGTCTGCGTTCCTGACGTGAAACAATGGGAATGAATTGGGAACTGTGAAACATTGTTTGTTACTGTGTTTTTATTCCTCTTTAATATATTACGGTAGTTTGATTGTTTTGGTGCATCAGGGTTTTGGAGTCTCATTTCTAAGCAACAGCAATTCATGGTTGGCCTATGACAATACAATGCTTGAGATTTCATTCACGGACTTGTGTGCGGGTTTTACTCTCAAGATGGAGTATACCGCTACCGATACCAGATTGCTCCCTAGCGAAGTGTACTCGCTTCCTCTAGTTGGGTTTAAGCACAACACCTATGCAACTAATGAATCAACTTATATACGGTATGAGGCACCTACAAGATTGGGACCTGGTGGAGGAGGTACTCGTTATTCCACTTCCTTGAGCTTGGGCACAGACTTGTACTCATAGTTGTTGATATCAATCTTTTGCTGCATACGCTGCAGAAGGGATTCAAGACAGTGTAAAGGTAATGATACAAACATGACCAACCGGAGTGCACTTCACTCCTCTTCCTTGGGCTTGGGCACAGGCTTGTACTCATAGTTGTTGATATCGAGCTTCTGCTGCATGCGCTGCAAGGGGAGACAGAGGGTAGAAGAAACCATTGGAAGCAGAAGATGGTGGGGAAGAGACGGCAGAAACCATGACTGGTGGTGTTGGCTTGCAGTGCTTGATCTAATTGTTGGAAGTCAATCTTTTGCTGCATGCACTGGAAAAGGGAGATGGAGGGAAGGCAGAATGACAGCAAGCACTGGCCAGGATTTATTAAGAAGGCATGAGCAGCGGCATGGGTTTGCAGTGCTTGTACTCATAGTTTTCTATGCAAATCTTTTGCTCTCAAAACTTTCTAAACTGACCTTGAGCTCTTCCTCTAAGTCCATTGCTTTCCGCCTGACAGGTGTCTTCAACTCCCCAATGTCACTCTCTCTGGTCAGCGACCGAGTTGCCTCTAGCGCTGCCCACTCGCCATCGTCCTTGGCTCGCTCTAGGTCTCGCCTGCGTGGAATGGAGTTTGGAAGGGGGACAAACAGAGCAGATAAGGGGTTCCTTGACGTGCAATAGACAAATGGTGTTGCTCGCTACCCACTCCCAGTATCCTTGGCTCGCTCCAAGTATCCTCTCACTCCCGTTGCAAGAAAAACACAGGAGAAAACAAAATGTGACTTGAAAAAAAAAAAAAACAGACAAAAAACAGGTTTCAGGAGATTTGTTCCCATTCCGCACCTCCCTTGCGCCATCCACTAGAGTTACTTCCACTAATCACAAATCCGAACCGCACCTGCCTTCAACCGTGCACTAGAGTACTCTCATAACTCACACAACTCCGTAGCGCACCTGCCTTGCACCATGTAGCCCAGCCCCACGGATCCGACGACCATCATCGACAGCATCGGTAGCCCATAACGAAGGAACGGCGCAGATTTCCGCGAGTTGGCCAGAACGCCACGTGTCGGCATATCAGAGACTCAAAGCATACTCTGGCTGCTTCAAAGAAGCTTGTATCAGTCCTACACGGATTTAGAAGCTGAAATAGCTCACTCAATCCCAAGCTCTTCACACGTTCGATTTAAATCTCAAAGGACGACCGCGCTAGAGCCTAGAGAAGCATAGTAAAGACATGGCATACTCTGCATACCAATAATTTGGAAGCTTAGGAGCTTCTGTGTTGCGCATGCTCCCGATTACAAGGGGTCTAATCATGGTGTGGTATCATGACGGAGGGATAGGTTGTGGGCTTCTAGATTGGAGTTGCGGTCGCGACTCAAATCCGAAGGAACCCGGGGAGGATCAGGATGGATCGCCCTTGGGATCAGGATGGATCGCCCTTGGGATCGTTTTTAAAGGGTCTCGAGTCAGCTTTGTAGGTTTCAGAGACGATAAGCGTGGTTTCAGTACGGTTAGTGAACCTTGTTTCTCCTCAATCTTGCCAGCTTGTGATTCTTCCCCGACAGCCGAACGGGTTTCCTCGCCAGATAGGGTCAGAGACAGATTCCTGCGAATTTCCGCGTCTGACAGGTTCAGTTACAGACTGTGCGAATAACAATAATTAAGTAGTCATGTAACTGATCTGCAGTCGATAATCGGTACAATGTGAAATAGCCTCTTTCGTATTTCCCTGAATAACACGGCTCTCCGAACCTTGGGAATTTCACAGTTTCGGGATTTCCAACAGTAAGGCAGCAACTCGTAGTTTCCAAGGCCGTCCCGTCCTTTTCCCAGCCACTCCTAACGTTTCGGACCCATGCCATCCTGACGTGCTTGCGGGTGGTAGGGCACGCTCTAGGCTCCCGCTTAGCGCATTATTGAGTTTCCTGACTAGCTGCGTCTGGTCTAGCACGCTTTCGGCTCGCGCGGAGTGCATTATAATCTGTCAGAGGTGTAGCCTTTTCGCTGGTTTGCGCTCGAGGAAATGGACCAATCAGAGGCGAAGGATGCCTCAGCCGCGATCGCGGCACCAGGAGCCGGGGACGGCGCATCGACGGAGGCGAGGGTCGCTGCAGACGCGAGTAGCTTCGGATTGCCTTTTATCTTGAATTACTGGAAAGGTATTGAGGTTCAGAGGTTGTTGGGTTGAAGAAAACGACGCCAGTAGCTACTGTATTGCTCTTGAAATGACTCTAATGGTTAAGTTCCGACACTGATGGAAGCTGCGACATCCCCGAGACCTTTTCTTGTGTTCGAAACGCGTGCCTACTCTTCTCGATCGAGCCAGCTTAAGTTTCGCTGGAAATGCCAGCATCTTCTCACTGCCGTCCATGCTGGGATTTTCAAAGTCAATGCAAGTACTAGTTTACTTTCTGTTCATGCAGCCTTCCGTTCCGTGTCTGCTCAAGTCCCAGAGTTCGACTTGGAGATTGAGAATGACAAATCGTGAGATAACTGTGAAACGCAAATCTCCCTCTTGGAGAACGCACGGACAGGACATCTCTGGACGAGCAAGGCCTGAAGATTGAACTTAGAGATTTTCTGACAAAGCAACCCCCCCTCTGTGTGTGTCTTTTCCTTTCCCAGAGTTTGACTTGGAGAATGCACGGACGTCACTGGACGAGCAAGGGTTGAAGATTGCGGAGAATCAGGAGGCGAGCTCCAAGAATCGGAGGAAGCTCGCAGAGTCCACACGAGGTAGGTTGAAACGGAATCTTTCTGAAGTTCTCCCATGAGAGTATGAGTTGATGTTTGCAGCAAAGAATCAGGAGGCGAGCTCCAAGAATCGGAGGAAACTCGCAGAGTCCAGACGAGGTAGGTTGAAACGGAATCTTTCTGAAGTTCTCCCATGAGAGTATGAGTTGATGTTTGCAGCAAAGAATCAGGAGGCGAGCTCCAAGAATCGGAGGAAACTCGCAGAGTCCACACGACGTAGGTTGAAACGGAATCTTTCTGAAGTTCCCCCATGAGAGTATGAGTTGATGTTTGCAGCAAAGAATCAGGAGGCGAGCTCCAAGAATCGGAGGAAACTCGCAGAGTCCACACGAGGTAGGTTGGTGGAGTGGACCTGAAGCACAGCACTGTTAAGAGCTGACAACTGCTACAGTGTAGAGAACTGGAGGATGCTAGCAGAGGGAACACGAGGTAGGCTGACAGTGTTTGACTATCACCAAGCCGCAAGAATTGGATGAATCTAGCTGGCATTGCAGCAACCATCAGAGGTGGTGGTGTGATGATTAATTGATTCGAACTGCGGTGAGCCAAAGAAAACGAGGACCGGCTACAAATGTTCTTGACGTGTGGATGTTTGTAACTTAGCTGCTGCAGATATCTGTCATTCTGTTGTCAGCTCTCACGTTTTTCACCAAAAATCACGACGTGGGTCTCCGAATGATGCATTCTCCAACCACCCCCCGTCTCTGCACTCCGGCAAACTTCAAGGAAGCAGCCAGAGACGAGCAGAGCAAGCTGTTTGGCGCGCTTCTGAACGTGTAACTCACAAAGAACATCAGTCTAGAGGCACCCGTCAAAGCACCACCGCACCATCCAACCATCCTGTTCTCCCTCTCTATCCGCCCTGCAGACTTCAAGAAGGCAGGTAAAGAGGAGCAGAGCAAGTTGTTCGGCGCCCTTCTCAAGGCGTATCAGGAGGAGGTGGACAACCTCACAAAGCGCGCCAAGTTTGCAGAAGCATCTTTCCTGGGCGTCTACCAGAAGCTCTATGAGGCCCCGGATCCCGTGCCGTCCCTGGCGTCTGCTGCTGTGAGTTTCCATTCCAGGTGCTGTAACCTGTGGCAGCATGAGCGTCATTTGTAGAAGCTGGGGTGTGTGCATATTGAGCAGCCTTCCTGAGTGTCTACCAGAAGCTCTATGAGGCCCAGGATCCTGTGCCGTCACTGGCGTCTGCTGCTGTAACGTTTTAACATGTTCGAGCTGTCTGTAGTTGTGGGATACTAGCTGCCTTCCTGGGCGTCGACCAGAAGCTTTACAAAGGCCCCGGATCCTGTGCCGTCCCTGGCGTCTGCTGCTGTGAGTGCCTGGTCTAGGGGAACGAATCAATGCCTGCTTTACTGCTACCGTGAAACTCAAGAGACTTTCTGGTGCTGTTGCGTGTGCATAGCATACTGAGCTACCTTTCTGGGCGTCCATCTGATCTGATCAGAAGTGAGAGCTTTAACTCTGTGCATTCTCTTTCAATATCAGTCTTCAGGTCAAGGGCCTTAGAGAATGGCACTCTTTATCTCCTCTTCCCACCTTCATCCCACTCCCAACCCCTTGTTTGAGTCGTCTCAAGGATCCGCTCTGTTTCCTTTCCGTTCTCATCCCAACTTGTTCCATTGGCCTCTCTCCAGGAGGTGGCAGCGAATGCTGCTGAGCTGGCGGCGGAGAATCGGCGCATGCATGCTGAGCTGGAGGAGTTCCGATCTGAGTCAGCACACCTCAAGAACCAGCAGGCGACGGTTCGACGGCTGGAGGAGAGAAACCGACAGCTGGAGCAGCAGGTGGGGGTGGGAAGGGAAACTGAAGGGAGAGACAGATGGAGCAGCAGGTGGGTGAGATTTGGGAAAGGTGCTCGTTTTAGACGACTAAACAACCACCTCTGAGTCATCAGTGCACCTGAAGAACCAGCAGGCGACCGTGTGACGACTGGAAGAGAGAAACCGACAGCTGGAGCAACAGGTGGGTGGGGAAGACAGGAGGTGGGTGGGGTGGTTTGGGAAGACAGGTGGTTGGGGAAGGATTAGGTAGAGTGACAGGGGAAGCAGCAGCGGGGTGGGAAGGGGATTGACAGCTGGAGTAACAGGTGGGAAGGGACAGGAGGGTGGGAAAAACAGGCGGGTGGGAAAGGCAGGTGGGTGGGAAAGGCAGGTGGGCGAGGAAGACAGGTGGAACAGCAGGTGGTTTGGAAATGAACAAGTGGAGGGACAGGTGACAGAGCAGGTCGGCGGGAAAGGCAGGTGGGTGGGGAAGACAGATCCGTCTGATTCGAATCAAATCTGATGCCCCTCTCCCTGCCTGTTCCCGTATGTTGTGCACACTCCCATGTTCGTCAGATGGAGGAGAAGGTGAAGGAGATTGTGGCAATGAAGCAGCATGTTCCTTTCAGTCATCTCAAGCTGTGTGACGTGTTCTGTTCCCTGTGTGCCCATCCCTCTGTGTGTATGTGCATGAGCTCGTCAGATGGAGGAGAAGGTGAAGGAGATGGTGGCGATGAAGCAGCATGTGCTTCTGACTCATCCCGAGCTGTGCCTCTCCGTGCTTGTGTATGCCCTATTGTCTGTCTGTCTGTGTGTGTGCATGAGCACGTCAGATGGAGGAGAAGGTGAAGGAGATGGTGGCGATGAAGCAGCATGTGCTTCTGACTCATCCCGAGCTGTGCCTCTCCGTGCTTGTGTATGCCCTATTGTCTGTCTGTCTGTGTGTGTGCATGAGCACGTCAGATGGAGGAGAAGGTGAAGGAGATGGTGGCGATGAAGCAGCATGTGCTTCTGACTCATCCCGAGCTGTGCCTCTCCGTGCTTGTGTATGCCCTATTGTCTGTCTGTCTGTGTGTGTGCATGAGCACGTCAGATGGAGGAGAAGGTGAAGGAGATGGTGGCGATGAAGCAGCATGTGCTTCTGACTCATCCCGAGCTGTGCCTCTCCGTGCTTGTGTATGCCCTATTGTCTGTCTGTCTGTGTGTGTGCATGAGCACGTCAGATGGAGGAGAAGGTGAAGGAGATGGTGGCGATGAAGCAGCATGTGCTTCTGACTCATCCCGAGCTGTGCCTCTCCGTGCTTGTGTATGCCCTATTGTCTGTCTGTCTGTGTGTGTGCATGAGCACATCAGATGGAGGAGAAGGTGAAGGAGATGGTGGCGATGAAGCAGCATGTGCTGGCGGAGGAGAGCCAACGGAGCATGGAAACACTCAAGTCAAGGCAAGTCAACGCTGGTCAATGCAGATCAAGGCAGGGTCAGGGCAAGTCAAGGCATGGTCAGGTCAAGTTAAAGTTTATGCAGGGTTTGAAGGCAGGAAGGTCAAATCAGGGTGAATGCAGGGTCAACGCAGGTCAAATAAGGTTCAATGCGGGGTCAAAGCAGGTTAAATTAAGCTCAAAGACTGAGGATTTGTGGGGCGTCTTGAAACCCCTCCCTCCCTCGTTTCTTCTCCTCTCCTCGTCTCTCCCCCTTGGCAGGGAGGACGCAACGCACTGCTGGAGCAGCTGCGGGCGGCGAGGGAGACAGTGAACACTCATGATGACGTGCGACTCCTCAATCAAAGATACACTCTCCCTCTCTCCCTCTCTCCCTCCCTCCCTCCCTCCCTCCCTCCCTCCCTCCCTGCCTCCCTCCCTCCCCTCTGTCTTCCCTCCGTCAACAGGGAGGATGCACTGCAGGAGCAGCTGAGGGCGGCGAGGGAGACAGTGAGCAACATGCAGCGGCTGCACGAGATGAGCCAGTCGCAGCTGTTCGAGCTCAAGGCGCAGTCAGGTAGGTTTAAATGGCTTACTCAGTCAGTGGTAGTTTCACAGCACAATGTACCAGCAGCTGAGGGCAGCGAGGGAGACAGTGAGCAACATGCAGCGGCTGCACGAGATGAGCCAGTCGCAGCTGTTCGAGCTCAAGGCTCAGTCTGGTGGGCGTGAACTACGAATGGGACATTTTAGTTTCACATCCCAGCACATTATAGCAGCATCACGGCCAGGTGGTCGAGACAGTGAGCAACATGCAGCGACTGCACGAGATGAGCCAGTTGCAGCTGTTCCAGCTCAAGGCTCAGTCAGGTGGCCGTGCAGTTTAAACTCCCAATAGGGCATCCTAATTTCACAACACAGCACAACATAGCAGCAGCAGCAATTGTGAGTGAGCAACATGCAGCGCCTGCACGAGATGAGCCAGTCACAGCTGTTTGATAGAACTCAAGTTGGATATCATGTTTTGATTCGACCCAAAACACGACTCATTACACGCGCACGGGATGAGCCAATTACAGCTGTTTGATTGAACTCGAGTCGGATATCATATCACGTCAAGGCTTTCAGAAAACCACATGGGAACCTTGAAATGATGGGCTTGCATAGCTTTTCCTCCCTCTCCCCTCCCTGCTGCTATATCCCCTCTTGCCTTTCCATCAGAGGAGGAGCGCGCATCAAAGAAGGGAGAAGTGAAGTGAACCGCCTGACAGACGAGGAGAAGCAGTCAGACGTCTCAAAAGCCCCTCTTCCCTTCCCTCTTCCCCGTTGCTCCCCGTTCCATTCTCCCTCACCCCCATCAGAGCAGGAGTGGGCATCAAAGCAGGGCGAGGTGAACCGCCTGACAGACGAGGAGGAGCAGTCAGACGTCTCAAAAGCCCCTCTTCCCTTCCCTCTTCCCCGTTGCTCCCCGTTCCATTCTCCCTCACCCCCATCAGAGCAGGAGTGGGCATCAAAGCAGGGCGAGGTGAACCGCCTGACAGACGAGGTGGAGCAGTGAGACGTCTCAAAAGCCCCTCTTCCCTGTTATTGAGAATTCTCAAAAACACCGTGCAGCTGACAAACGAGGTGGATCAGTGAGACGTCTCAAAAGCCCCTCTTCCCTTCCCTCACCCCCATCGCTCTCCCCTGTCCTTTTCCCCCACCCTCACTCCCTTGTGCTATCGTCCATCAGAGGAGGATCGCGTGTCGAAGCAGGGCGAGGTGAATTTGCTGACCGACGAGGTGGAGCGAGCTCAGGCGCGGCTTCTGGCTCTGGAGAGAGAGAAGGTGAGCGGGATGGGAGGTAGGAATGCACTGGGTGAGCGGGGTAGGAGGTGAGAGAGAGCAAGGCGGATCAGACGAGGTGGAGCGAACCCAGGCACGGCTGCTGGCGCTGGAGAGAGAGAAGGTGAGCGGGGTGGGAGCTTGAGGTGCACTGGGTGAGGAGAGGGAAAGCAAAGCGTATTGGAATGTGGACAGGAGGAGCAAGCATAGTCGCGATGTTAGTGTTAGCCCTCAATCTCACACTTTGTACTTTATATTTCCTATATCCTAGAGTAGTGTAGTTTGCACTTTGTGTTTGGTTGGGTGTACACCTACATCCCAACCAAACCCAAATGTAATCTCCAAGCAATCTCCAACCCACCAATTGGAGATTGCCTTGGGATTACCCCCAATCCCTAGGGATTGCCCCGAATTCCCTTCCCCATCCATTCCTTGCCCTTCTTGGATGTACTTAAAGAGCTTCAAGCTCATTACTAATGTATCAATTCTAAGCCTAAGTTCTGACACGCGACTGCTGCCTTCTGAGAGAGAGAAGGTGAGCGGGGGGAAGAGATCGAGAGGTGTGGTACAGAGGGATACAGTGGGATACAGTGGCCTGTTGCGTCTTCCCTAACCTGTCCGCCCCCCTCTCTCCCCCTGCACGCACTGCTCCCTCCCCCCTCCAGGAAGCTCTAAAGGCGCAGCTGCAGACTGCACAACCTAGTGAAGCAGCAGATGGCGAGAGGTGAGCTGCTATCACCAATTCCTGCTGTTTCTGCTGCCACCTCATGTGCACTCATGCGCACTTGCTTTCACCTCTCTAAAGCTCTAAAGGCGCAGCTGCAGACTGCACAACCTAGTGAAGTGGCAGATGGCGAGAGGTGAACTGCTGCCGCGCCGCCACCTCATGTGCACTCATGCAGCGCACTTCGTTTCACCTGTATAGATAGAGTCGGCACATGGGCAGACTGCACAGCCCAGTGAAGCAGCAGATGGTGTGAGGTGAGCTGCTGCTGCCGCCACCTCATGTGCACTCATACAGCGCACTTCGTTTCACCTGTATAGATAGAGTCTGCACATGGGCAGACTGCACAGCCCAGTGAAGCAGCAGATGGTGTGAGGTGAGCTGCTGCTGCTGCCACCACATGTGCACTCATGCAGCGCACTTCGTTTCACCTGTATAGATAGAGTCAGCACATGGGCAGACTGCACAGCCCAGTGAAGCAGCAGATGGTGTGAGGTGAGCTGCTGCTGCCGCCACCTCATGTGCACTCATACAGCGCGCTTCGTTTCACCTGTATAGATAGAGTCGGCACATGGGCAGACTGCACAGCCCAGTGAAGCAGCAGATGGTGTGAGTAGGGATGAGCAAGGGGCGAACACGAACATGTTCGTGTTCACCCCTAGACGAACACATCCGTTTGCCGAACCGAACACTGTTCGGTTCGGCGAACACTTTAAGCAAAAACACGTGTTCGCCGTTCGCCTGTGAAGGCGTGTTCGGGCGAACCTCGAACACGTTCGTGTTCGTCGCGGGGCAAATTGCAGCAGCGGCCCGAACACGAACGTGTTCGGGCGAACATCGAACACTGTTCGGCGAACAATTTAAGCAAAAAAACCAAACGTTCGAGGCGAACCGAACAGGTGTTCGCCCTTGTGCTCATGTCTAGGTGTGAGGTGAGCTGCTGCTGCCGCCACCTCATGTGCACTCATACAGCGCACTTCGTTTCACCTGTATAGATAGAGTTGGCACATGGGCAGACTGCACACCCCAGTGAAGCAGCAGATGGTGTGAGGTGAGCTGCTGCTGCTGCCACCACATGTGCACTCATGCGCACTTCGTTTCACCTGTATAGATAGAGTCGGCACATGGGCAGACTGCACAGCCCAGTGAAGCAGCAGATGGTGTGAGGTGAGCTGCTGCTGCTGCCACCACATGTGCACTCATGCAGCGCACTTCGTTTCACCTGTATAGATAGAGTCGGCACATGGGCAGACTGCACAGCCCAGTGAAGCAGAGATGGTGTGAGGTGAGGTGCTGCCACCGCCACCACATGTGCACTCATGCGCACTTCGTTTCACCTGTATAGATAGAGTCGGCACATGGGCAGACTGCACAGCCCACAGCACGGACAGCAGCAGGGCCATTGGGTGGGAGGCGGCAGTGAGGGCAAAAGAGGTGGTGATAGCATCTCTGCATCAGGAGCTGCACGCCCTGGAAGCAGCAGGGGCGGTGGAGAGGGGTGGATAGGATAGTCCCATACCCTTACCCCTTGTTTTTCCTGTCACTCTTCCGCACATCGTCCCCCACCCGCACTCCCCTGCTTTCCTATACAGCACGGACAGCAGTGGAGCGGTGGGGTGGGAGGCGGCAGTGAGGGCAAAGGAGGCGGTGATAGCATCGCTGCATCAGGAGCTGCACGCCCTGGAGGCAGCAGGGGCGGCTGAGAGGGAGGAGCAGCGGGCGGAGGTGAAACGACTCAAGGCGCTGCTGCAGGACCAGGTGGGCGTTTGGGCAGATAGTGTGGGGTGGGTGGGATGGGGCAAGACAATTTGCTGTGTCAACTGTTGCCGATCAAGGCAGGTTGATGGGAGAGAGGGAGGAGCAGAGGGCGGAGGTGAAGCGACTCAAGGCGCTGCTGCAGGACCAGGTGGGTGTGTGTGGGTATTATGAAGATGGTGGTCATTCGGCTTGTATGTCCTCCTGGTGGCTTCTTCCATCTCACATCTCACCACCCACCTCCCACATCCGGGACAGGTCGCACGATTCGCAGTGCATTGCTCTCACACAACCCACCCCACCCCGCCCATCACCAGGAGTCGTTGTCTGTAGCTGTGCTCAGAGCGGAACTGGCAACAAGACCCACGCATACATCTCAACTCAACCATTGGTGCAATGCGCCTCTCTCACACAACACAACACAACACCGCCCACCCAACCATCACCAGGACGACGCGTCTGTAGCCGCACTGAGAGCAGAACTGGCAACCAGGCCCGCACAGAGTTTCCAGACGTCTCAACTATTGCTGCTGTCTCTCACACCTCCCACCCCCCCCCCCCCCCCCCCCCACCCACGCATCACCAGGAGTCGTCCATTGGAGCGCTGAGAGCGGAACTGGCAACGAGGCCCACACAGAGGCAGTGGGAGGACCTGCGCAAGCAAGTGAAGATCCTGCAGGTGAGACCTTTCCACAGGCTGTGGTGCTCTGGGTTTTGGTGGTAATGCAAGGTCGGTCACTCGAGTATGCTCTATCCTTGTGTGAGTGTGAGCTCCTCTTTCAACTATAACTACAGAGATGTCGACTTTTGAGGCCCCTCAAAAGTCCTCTTTCAACTATGACCACAGAGATGTCGGAAAGATCATGGCTTTAACAATTCTCCCCCTCCGCTCCCCACCCCACCCCACCCTACATCCACTGTTGCCCCCTAGGCTGTGGGGTACAATGCAGTGGAAGTGGACGACTGGGATGAACCAGGCATGGCATCCAACGGTCCAGGATCGTCCTCCGATCTCTCTGCTGCTGCAGATGGGGACAGTGGGAAAAGGGGAGGGGAAGGGGGAGTGATGCGCAGCAGCAGTGGGGCTGACATTGGGAAACTGGAGGCGTTGCTTCTGGAGAAGAACAAACGGATGGAGCACGAGTTGACTCAAGTCAAGGTGAGTCAACGCTGGTCAATGGGAGGCCCCAAGGTCCATAAGCACCAAATGGGGAAAGGGAAGGAGGGGAAGGGGGAGTGATGCGCAGCAGCAGTGGGGCTGACGTTGAGAAGCTTGAGGCGTTGCTTTTGGAGGAAGAACAAGCGGATGGAGCACGAGTTGACCCAAGTCATGGTGCGCAGCAGGAGTGGGGCTCACATCCCCTCGCCTTCCCTGCTCATACCATACCACAGTCAGAAACACCTGAGAGTGAGTGTTGTGTTGGCCAACAGAAGCCTCTCATTGGCTGGCTGAAGGATGATATTTTCATCTCAAGGGAAGGGCCCTATTGACATGTCGTGCCTCCCCTCTTCCCTGTCTCTGCCGTCCCCTGTGCCGCCCCTTCCCCGCTTTCCTTCCTTCCTTCCGTCCGCCCTCTTACACACCACACCTGATGCGTTTGAGTGAGAGGTAGGAGGAGTGTGATCGGGAGGAGTGTGATCGGGAGTGGTGTGATCAGGAGGAGTGTGATCGTGAGAGAGGAGTGAGAAGGAGGAGGATTGTGATCAAGCCAAGGCTAAGTTGGTAGCACTGGAAGGGGCAGTGGCAGAGCAGAGGGCGCTCATAGGCAAATTGGAGGACGACATTCTCAAGGGCCCCTTCGCATCCACCCCCCTCCCTTATTCCCCTGCTCCCGTATTCCTTCAAACACCCTCTCCAGATGCATCTAAGTGAGAGGGAGGAGGAGTGCGATGAAACGAAAGCTAAGTTGGTAGCACTGGAAGGGACAGTGGCGGAGCAGAGGGCGCTCATAGGCAAACTGGAGGACGACATTCTCAAGGGCTATGGCGCACGGGACAAGCACCGGGCGGCGTCCGTTGGCAGCATTGTCTCGATGCCCGGAGCAGCGGGCGGCAGCGGTGGTGGTGGTGTGGATGGTGGTGTTACAGGTGGCAGCAGCAGATTGGTGGATGATGATTCGGTGCTGATGGTGGTATGCGGGCAGCGGGACAGGTTCCGACAGCGAATGGGAGAGCTGGAAGAGGTGAGGGAGGGCAGAGCAAGGGAAGCGAATGGAAGGGGGGTGTTTAGCGTACAACACATTAGCTCGTGGTGGTGTGTGTATGGCAGTGGGACAGGTTCAGGCAGCGAATGGGAGAGCTGGACAGCAAGGCAGAGGAGGAGAGGGAAGGTGAGGGTAGGGGAATGGGAGAAGGAGTGTTTCCAGCATTATCGCACCAGGAGAGATTCTGACAGCAAAATGGCGAGTGATGTGTGGATGATGGTGATGATGATGGCGATAGTGATGGTGGTGATTCGGTGCTCATTGTGGTGTTGTAGCCCTTGAGAACTCTCAAAAAGTATATTTGAGGGGGGTTGTGGCGTGGCACAACTTTGCTACTGCGTTTTTCTTCCTCTTCTTCTTGTAAGCATTCTCAATCCCTTGCCCTGCAACGCACTTTTTCTTCTTCTTCATTTAAACACAAGCTAGGCTCTAAATCTCCCTTGGTTTCTCATTTTCAGGAACTGCGGGCAGAAAGGGAGAGGAGCAGCAAGTTAGCGACAGAGGTGGAGCGGTTGAAAGCAGACAACGTGAAGCTGTATGAGTGCATGCGCTACGTGCAGGACTACACGAGCGCTGGTGGGGGAGGGGACAGACCCAACTCCAGCCGATCGAGAAAGGTGTGTCTGCCTATCTTCCCATGTGAATATAGCCGCACCAGAGGGCTGTGGCTGGGTTTGAGAGACGACAACGTGAAGCTGTATGAGCGCATGCGCTACGTGCAGGACTACACGAGCGCTGGTGGGGGAGGGGACAGACCCAACACTAGTCGATCCAGAAAGGTATGTGTACTGCCCATCTCACCATCTGGAGCAGAGGTGGAGCGGTTGAAAAAGGACATCAGGAAGCTGTACGAGCGCATGTGCTACGTGCAGGGACTACACGAGCGCTGGAGGAGGGGGGGGTGACAGACCCAACAGTAGTCGATCCAGGAAGGTAAGTGTGTACCCATGACCCATGTGGCTATTCTGGCCCCTGGTACGGTGACAGTGGGCAACAGGAAGCTGTATGAGCGCATGCGCTACGTGCAGGACTACACGAGTGCAGGGGGACGGGACAGAGCCAACAGTAGTCGATCCAGGAAGGTATGTGTGAGCAGCGGTGCTACAGTGGACCTGTATCTGTATGGGGATAACGCTGGTTGTTGAATGCCGGTAACGTGAAGCTGTGTGAGCGACGTGTATGAAGATTGGTTTTGAGATGTCTCAAAACCTATCTTCATACGCGCGGTGCTACAGTGGACCTGTATCTGTATGGGGGTAACGCTGGTTGAATGCCGGCAACGTGAAGCTGTGTGAGCGCATGAGCTACGTGCGAAAAGTCATAAACCCCTCCCCTTTCTGACGATTCGCATCCTTCACGCACCTGCCCATCTGCACTGCACCCTCTCTCCCCTCTCCCCTCCATCCACCGTCAGAGTGACATAGAGGCGGGTTCAGCAGCGGACGTGGAGAGCAAGAACAAGAAGATCTACGAGGAGACAATCAACCCTCTCTCTTTGTCCCTTGCACTCTCCATCCTCTACCCCACGCCCCGCCTCCATCACACCGCACCAGAGTGACCTCGAGGCGGGTCCAGCAGCGGACGTGGAGAGCAAGTACAAGAAGATCTACGAGGAGACAATCAACCCCCTCTTTTTTTTCCCTTGCGCTCTCCATCCTCTACTCCACGCCCCGCCTCCATCACACCACACCAGAGTGACCTCGAGGCGGGTCCAGCAGCGGACGTGGAGGGCAAGTACAAGAAGATCTACGAGGAGACAATCAACCCGTTCGCTGCTTTCTCCACCAAGGTACTGCTCAAGTACTGCAGAAATGTTATGCTGCTGTTGCTGCGGCTGCGACTGCGGCGGCCGCCGGTGTTCCTATGCAAATCGATTATGCGCCACAGTAATGGGCCTATGTTGCTACTTGGCGTTATGCTGTTCCTTAGTTTCTGTCACACTGTGTGCACGTGCCTCAGAATATGATTTTCTCAGGCTGTGAGCGTGGGGGTGGGAGTATCATGGGTTCCTTTACAGTGCTCCACAGTTTCTCTCATCATCTCGTGACTTGTCATGTGTACGTTTATGCATGTCACCCCAATTGCTGCTTCGCTATGGATGCAATGTGAACAGGAGAGGGAGCAGCGGGTAAGGGACCTGGGTCTGCGAGACAGAATCACCCTCACCAGCGGCAAATTCCTCCTCTCCAACAAGTCAGTCCCTCATCTCATCTAGTTTCATTCCTCCACTCATTTCATCTCCTCCTTCCTTTTTCCTCCCGCCCTGTCTCCATCCACACCACCCTTTGCCAGCCTCACCTTTCAAACTGTGTATCACACAGTTTTTGAGTCGACTCAAAAGTTGTATCACACAGTTTTTGAGTCGACTGAAAAGTTGTATCACACAGTTTTTGAGTCGACTCAAAAGTTGTATCACACAGTTTTTTAGTCGACTCAAAATTTGTATCACACAGTTTTTGAGTCGACTCAAAAGTTGTATCACACAGTTTCTGTCCGCGTGCATATTGGCAGATCTTGTAACATCCATGTGTCCATGCCCATGTGTCCACGTCCATGTGTCCACGTCCATGTGTCCACGTCCATGTGTCCACGTCCATGTGTCCACGTCCATGTGTCCACGTCCATGTGTCCACGTCCATGTGTCCACGTCCATGTGTCCACGTCCATGTGTCCACGTCCATGTGTCCACGTCCATGTGTCCACGTCCATGTGTCCACGTCCATGTGTCCACGTCCATGTGTCCACGTCCATGTGTCCACGTCCATGTGTCCACTCCCATGTGTCTACTCCTCTCTCCTCTTACATCCTTCGCACTTTCCCAAGAATCATATTCTGTTCCCTCCCTTGCGCTCTCCCACGTATGCACACATTTCTGACGTCCTCTGTGGCGCCTGATGTTTTTTTTTTTGGGGGGGGGGGGGGGGGAATATAAATTTGAAGAAAAGCTTCCTCTCTTCCCTCCCTTCTCCCAGGTATGCGCGCACGTTTGTCTTCTTCTACTCCATCGGCCTGCATATCCTCGTGGCTCTCAGCATGTACCGCCTCTCCAGCCTCAGCCATGCCAGGTCAGCATGCATGCATGAGTGCATGATGATTCGTGTATCCATGCCACATGCATATCCATGTGTCTCTCAGCATGTACCGCCTCACCAGCCTCAGCCATGCGAGGTCAGCATTCGGGCATATATGTCTGATTCAAGAGATGGCCCATGTGCATGCTTGGACATGCTTTCTTTCTTTCCTTCCTGGCCTTGGAGCATGGCTCACGACTGCAACTTGCAACCCTCTCCTTGTCCCCTCCGCTTTGGGTTTCAGGATAAAGTTTGACGAGGATGAGCTTCCATCGAAACACACTCTATTGACCGCAGCTCTGAGGTCACGCAATGCCACATTTGGTGGTGGCCAATCGTCTGGTTGAGAGAAGTAATGAAAGCACGTGATTATGATTTTGTATGGATGCACTATGTATGTACATTATGCTGTGCTACTCACCAAGTCCGTTTATCATCTTATATGTTATCCTTTCTTCAAATTATACTTTGTACACAGCTCAACTCAATCGAGTACAAGCTTATCAGGCTTCAGACAACTGTAATGGCATGTCAGAGTAGCCACTGAATTCTTGTAGCGGAGCACCGTCAAACGGGTCATTGTTATGCGAAACTGAACAACTAGAGAAATCGTAGTTTTGTGGGAGTCGAATCAGATCAGGACGGGTGAGATGAGGTTGGGTCAGGTCGAATGGGATTCGGGTGCATCCGTCCAACGTAAATGTGCTGATCACGCCGCCATTGAATTCAACTGTTCTTTTCCTTGCTTGATCGACAGATACGACCAGAAAGCCATGAATTAGCATAATAACTGATATTAGAGCATTCAGCGAACTAGGTACTGGAAACTATTTTTAGAGTATTATTAAGCAGTACGCTCCCTCGGGAAAGAGCAGGAAATAGTGCGTTCAGTACGTTCTCTGGGTCCGAAGCGGGGAGATTCTGATGGATAGCAGCGATAATGCGCTTGTATCGAAGGAGAGCGAGCGCAACGACCATGTGCTTGTATCGAGGCAGAGCGAGGGCCGCGACCATGTGCTTGTATTGAAGCACGTGCCGGCGACGGCGAGTCAGGAAGTGCTGGATCGGCTGCTGCAGCGGTTTGGAGCGGTGGAAGTGGTTAGCAGGTGGGAGAGTAGCATGTGGTGGACGCGTGGATGGTGAATGCGTTGCTGCGTGATAACTACTATGTTTTCCGACGTCTCAAGTCGATTTTATCATATCGTTTATGGTGCATGCGTTGTTGCTGCTGATTGACCCATATCAGTGTCAGCTCATCAGCAGCAGCACGGAGAACTGAATGTGCAGGAGCAAAGTGACCGTTGATTGGCCGTTGATGGACAGTCGATCGACCATGGACGGACTGTTAACTGACCGTTGACTGACCGTTGACTGGCCGTTGACTGGCCGTTGACTGGCCGTTGAGTGGCCGTTAAGTGACCGTTTGGTCAAATTAAATGTCAGCTCTTCTCCAGCTCTTCAGTTCCAAAAGCTGGCCTTCGTTTCTCCACCCAACACCAAGAGCAAGAGAGTGGTGTAACGGATTGGCACAAAAGCTACATATCAGCAGGGAGAATTGCGGAGCAAGAGAGTGGTGCATATGTGTGCTATGAAGCAATTCAGTAGCCTCACCCCCACACCTTCGATCCCCCTCCCGTGAAATCTCGTGGTTCCTTCCCACCAGGAGCAAGGGGGTGGTGTATGTGCGTTTCAAGGCACAGAGTGAGGCAGTCTCGGCTAAGAAACAACTCCATGGGTAAGCTTTTTGCTCTCCACTCTGCACACTCCACGGGTAAGTTTTTTAATTTTCTGCACACTCTACTCACTTGTTAGCAGGGGTAGCATAAGGGGTATGAGAAGTTGTTGGTAGCAAGCTGTGCCTTCTCATACCCCTTATGCTGCTTCTTTTTCCTATCTACAGCTAGAAGGAACAATCACCGAACTTTTTATTTTTCTACTCCCCACTCCTCTTCCCTCTTCCCTCGCTCCCTCCCCGACCAACAGCATCCGCATGGGAAGCAACAACCTATCAGCTCACTACTTCCCCCCTCATTCAGCTGACTGCACTGAACCGCACTCCACACCTGTCATTCCTTCTTCTGCTGCTGCTCCTTCTACTGCTCACAAGCATGGAGCACACAGGGAGGCATCACCACCACCACCGCCGCCGTTACAGCAAAGGCCTTTCACTGACCCCTCTCTCCGCCGCCTGCTGCATGCCCTCATGGCTTTCAGCGAGCAAGAACAGCTGGTTTCACAAAGGCGTGAAGGAGAGGGAGCAACAGCAGCAGCAGCAGCAGCAGCAGCAGCAGCAGCAGCAGCAGCAGCAGCAGCAGCAGCAGCAGCAGGGCAGGAACAACTTATTGTGAGAGAAAATACTATTGACCAAGAGAAGGGGATGACAGGTGCAGAGGAAGCAGTGGGCCAACAGCAGGGATTGGGAAGCAGAGGGAAGGAGAGGGTTGAAGAGAGAAGGGACGAAGCAGCATTGCCTATAAGGGAGGTGCACGCAGAAAGGGGAAGCCATTTAGCAGCAGGAGGGGGGGAGGGAGAAAGCTGTTTGGAGGAAGGGAGCTATTATCCCTTTCCTCCCCCACACTTTAGGTCTGTGGTCCTGTTCCCACACCCCCTTTTTTCCACACTCTCTCCTCTTCACGCAACCCTTGCACATGCTGCAGCCTTTCCGCGAGCTGCAGCTTTTGCTTCACGAGGCCTGCCTGCCTGCCTGCCTGCCTGCCTGCCTGCCTGCCTGCCTGCCTGCCTGCCTGCCTGCCTGCCTGCCTGCCTGCCTGCCTGCCTGCCTGCCTGCCTGCCTGCCTGCCTGCCTGCCTGCCTGCCTGCCTGCCTGCCTGCCTGCCTGCCTGCCTGCCTGCCTGCCTGCCTGCCTGCCTGCCTGCCTGCCTGCCTGCCTGCCTGCCTGCCTGCCTGCCTGCCTGCCTGCCTGCCTGCCTGCCTGCCTGCCTGCCTGCCTGCCTGCCATGCCTGCCTGCCTGCCTGCCTGCCTGCCCTTGCATGCCTGCCTGCCTGCCTGCCTGCCTGCCTGCCTGCCTGCCTGCCTGCCTGCCTGCCTGCCTGCCTGCCTGCCTGCTGCCTGCCTGCCTGCCTGCCTGCCTGCCTGCCTGCCTGCCTGCCTGCCTGCCTGCCTGCCTGCCTGCCTGCCTGCCTGCCTGCCTGCCTGCCTGCCTGCCTGCCTGCCTGCCTGCCTGCCTGCCTGCCTGCCTGCCTGCCTGCCTCCCTGCCTGCCTGCCTGCCTGCCTGCCTGCCTGCCTGCCTGCCTGCCTGCCTGCCTGCCTGCCTGCCTGCCTGCCTGCCTGCCTGCCTGCCTGCCTGCCTGCCTGCCTGCCTGCCTGCCTGCCTGCCTGCCTGCCTGCCTGCCTGCCTGCCTGCCTGCCTGCCTGCCTGCCTGCCTGCCTGCCTGCCTGCCTGCCTGCCTGCCTGCCTGCCTGCCTGCCTGCCTGCCTGCCTGCCTGCCTGCCTGCCTGCCTGCCTGCCTGCCTGCCTGCCTGCCTGCCTGCCTGCCTGCCTGCCTGCCTGCCTGCCTGCCTGCCTGCCTGCCTGCCTGCCTGCCTGCCTGCCTGCCTGCCTGCCTGCCTGCCTGCCTGCCTGCCTGCCTGCCTGCCTGCCTGCCTGCCTGCCTGCCTGCCTGCCTGCCTGCCTGCCTGCCTGCCTGCCTGCCTGCCTGCCTGCCTGCCTGCCTGCCTGCCTGCCTGCCTGCCTGCCTGCCTGCCTGCCTGCCTGCCTGCCTGCCTGCCTGCCTGCCTGCCTGCCTGCCTGCCTGCCTGCCTGCCTGCCTGCCTGCCTGCCTGCCTGCCTGCCTGCCTGCCTGCCTGCCTGCCTGCCTGCCTGCCTGCCGTTCACCATGTGCACTAGGTGACTTCTGAGTCGTCTCAGAGGCCACCTTTGCACGAGCTGCAGCTTTTGCTTCACGAGGCCTGCCTGCCTGCCTGCCTGCCGTTCATCATGTGCACTAGTAAGAACTCTTAGAAACAACCCCTTGTCCCTCTCCATTCCCCACCATTTCCCCCCCTTCTCTCGTAACCCCCCGTTTCCCCTCGTACCAGGTACGCGTACCCTCCTCCGTCTGCTCCCACCATCATCAACATTGCTCTTGCACTCATCGCCACACCCCGCCTATACACGCAGGTAGGCTGGGCTGGCCCGACCGTCATGACTCGCAGGTGTGGTGCGGTGTGGTGCGGTGTGGTGTGGTGTGGTGTGGTGTGGTGCGGTGTGGTGTGGTGTGGTGTGGTGTGGTGCGGTGTGGTGTGTTGGGGTTGACAAAAAATGATATAGCTCTCGCTCGCTCGCGATCATCGCCACTCCTCGCCTCTACAAACAGGTATGCTGGACCGACCCTGCTGACACGCAGGTGTGGTGTGGTGTGGTGTGGTGTGGTGTGGTGTGCTGGCCCGATCGTCATGACTCGCAGGTGTGGTGTGGCGTGGTGGGATGGGGTGAAAGAATACTCAAATACCTCTGGCTTGCGCTCGTCGTAGCTTAACATGCTCATTAAGAGACATTCCAGGGATACATCTCTTTGTGTAGCGAGGTTGTTTTTGAGACGTCTCAAAAATTAACATGCTCATTAAGAGACATTCCAGCGATACATTTTTTTGCCCCAATCTTCAATTGCTTCCTACCTCCCTTTCTCTCCCTGTCTGACCCCCTCTCTTTCCATCCCCAGGTGCTCCATCTGATAAACAAGATGAGTCTGCCGCCTCTTTCTCCTTCTTACTTCGCCACACTTTGACCAACTCCTTAGCTCCCTTCCTCTTACCATTCCTCCCCACTTCCCTGCTCCCTCCCGTGCATGCATCCCCCCAGTTGCTGCATTTGATGAACCTGCCTCCTCCGCTCCTCACTTTTTCTGCTCCGATATTTGATCCCTCCCTCCCCCCTCTCTTCCCACCCTCCAGGTGCTGCACTGCACTTGATGAACAAGATGAGCCTGCCGCCTCCCTTCCTGGCCTGCCACACTCCAACTGATTTCTTGCCTCCCTTCCTCTCTCTAACCCTCCCTACTTTCCCGCTCCCTCCCGTGTATCCCCCCAGGTGCTGCACTTGATGAACAAGATGAGCCTGCCTCCAACCCCTGTCCCTGCTTTTTAAAATCTATGATGGATTATACGCGTTTAGCGTATATATGCGTATCGTATATACGCTAGCGTGTATACGCCATACGCTTGAGGGTCGGATCAGGCATACGCTTTTTCGGGCAGGGAAAAAACATTTCGGGCAGGGTGGAAAAAAATTACCCCCTATCGGTGGAAAAAACATCTCACTAAGACGTGCCCTAGCATTTTCCTGAGTCCGATCGGCGGGTGGGGTGGGGCGGGGAGTAGACATCATAGCTATAGGGAGTAGTGTTGGAGAGGCTGTTCAAGTTGGAGTGCGCGCGCGGGGACACTGCTGCAAGCGGGAATGCAAGTAGGAATGACGGGTTAGGAGTTGGGCTGTCTGGTAAGTAGCGTGAGATTTGTTGGGGGTTCGATTTTGATAGGTTGGAGTTCGTAGATAAGATGGTTTTCAATGCGGTAGAGGGGATGGGTTCAAATGCCTAGATGGGACCTGAAATTCGACATTTGAATAGCCAGACGCGCCTGAAAACTTCGAAGTCAGATCCCAGCTTGCATAGACCGCGGATTTGCATTTCGACTTCGGCGAAATGTTCACCAAGAAAATCCGCATCTTTTCGCGATTTTACTTTTCCGGGCTGCCCGAAAAAAATTATGGCTGCGTATTGCGTATTTGCTAGCGTTTAGCGTATTGCGTGTACACGCTAGCGTAGATACGCTAAACGCAAAGGGTCTAGAGCGTATAATCCAACATAGTTTAAAATCACTCCCTACCTCCCGTCATCTCCCTGTCCCTTCTACTCCCTCCTATTCATCCCTCCCAGGTGCTGCACTTGATGAACAAGATGAGCCTGCCGCCTCCCTTCGGCCCAGTCGTCCTTCCTATGTCCCTGCAGTCCATGACACCGCACCCCACCGCACAGCATCCTACCGCACTGCAGCCGTCACCACGACCACCATGCGCACCACATAAACTCAGCCCTTCCAACCCACCACCTCCTGACTCCCATCCAACCTCCTGCCAAGGCCCAACAACCGTCTCACCCCAACCACCTTACCCCCAACCGCTACCACCCCAGCCACGACAACCCTACCCGCAACCCCAACCACCCCAACCATCTTATCCCCAACCCCAACCACCCCAACAACCCCAGCCACCTCAACCATCCCACTCATTGCAATGGCAGCCCCCCCACCCACCGTCCAGCCGCCCTGCCCTCGCTCCCTTACCCTCCCATCCTCCCTTTACTCAGAGACCCCCCTCCCTGGCACCTCTTCCTTTTCATCCTTCATATTTCCGTCACCCTACCCCGTTCCCTTCTACGCCCTTCCCTCCCTCACCCTTCGTTCCCGCACTCTCTCCCTTCCCTCCACCACCCACGCACCGTCCACTCCCCTCTCCCTCTCCTGCCCCATCTCCCTCTCATGCTCCCCTGCCACACACCGTCTCACCCGCTGCTGCTTTCGCTGCATCGCCCGCCTCCTCCTCTCAACCCACCACGAGCCCCTTTGATTCGCCCTCACAGCCCCTCAGAGCACAGTCGCCCTTGCCAACAGCAGCAGCGCCACCACCACGTTCCATCCCATCAAATCCTAGTCCTGGGACGTTTCAAAGCACCGTCAGTGCCGCCGCGTCCTCCTCCCAACCCACCACGAGCCCCTTCGAGGCGCCCTCACAGCCCCTCAGAGCACAGTCGCCCTTGCCACCGGCACATTCCGTCACCACCCCGTCCGATGCAAGCCTTCTGATGCCGAAAAGCACCGTACGAACTGCCGCTGCTGCCTCCCTCGTACGAACTGCCGCTGCTGGTGTCAATGCCTCCCGCCTCCCACCCTCCGCGTCCCGCCCTGTCACAAGCCTCCTTGAAACGCCGTCACAGCCCCTCAGCAGCGCACAATCATCCATACCAGCAGCAGCTGCCACCCGATTGAAGAAGGGTTTTGAGACGTCTCAAAACCCTTCTTCAGTCAATGACTCCCGCCTCCCGCCCTCCGCGTCCCGCCCTGTCACAAACCTCTTTGAAACGCCGTCACAGACGCCGTCACAGCCCCTCAGCAGCGCACAATCATCCATACCAGCAGCAGCTGCCACCCCATCCAATGCGACTCTTGAAATTCCTCAAAGCACAGCCTCCCGCCCCAAACCTCCTGGGCTTTTCCCTGCACAGACAGATTCCAGTGTTGGTGGTGGTAGAGATGGCGGCAGGGGTGTAGTGCTTCCCATAGCAGAAAGAAGGGAGGGAGGCGGAGTTATCAGAACAAGGAAGAGAGGAGAGGTGGAGGAGGAAGAAGAGGAGGAGGGAGGGGATGAGGGTGTGTGGGAGGAAGGCGAGGAGAAGCGGCTGGAGAGAGCTGGAGTGAGAAAGGTAGTTGGAGGAAATGGAGGAAGGGTTGCGGGACGGGCAGGGTTGGTGGTCAAGAAAAGGACGCCTGTTTTGCAGGTAAATTCCGGCTTCTGCAGCATTTTAGGGTACATTACTTAATGCAGTTGGTTGGATGTTCTTTTTGTGTATGCCCCCTCTCTCCCTGCTGCTGCACTGTCCTTTCTCAGCATTCTCAGATTCAGTTTGCGTCCACAGAAGAAAGAATCCGAGAGCAAGGCTGGAAAGGAACGGTTGGGCCAAGGCGGGCGATAAAATGCACTCTCCATGTCGATATGGTGTCTTTTGAGACGCTCAAAAGCCATATCAATAAAGTGTTTGTCTCTGCCTCCCTGCCCTGCTGACCGTCGTGTTCCCCGCCGATTCTCAGATCCAGTTGCGGCCAGAGAAAAAAAAGCCAAGAACTCACGAGGGCAGGGCAGCTGAAAGCAATGCTGCAGTGACAGACCAAGATATTGGGGTGTCATTAACAGACCAGGAGGTTATGGTGACACTGACGGGACGAGATGCGATGACAACGGGCGGACAAAAGGAGAGCGGTGCAGTGACAGAGGCAATTTTGGAGTCGGATGGGGTGGAGGAGGGACGGCGGCAGGATGGAGCTGGTTTCGAGGAGGGAAGGGGAAAATACACGGACGGGCACAAGGAAATCCGGATATATGACGAGGGGGGAACCAAGGCGAAGGCAGAGGAAGGGGATGTGGGGAAAAGGGAGAGGACAAATGTGGGGGAGAAGGGGGGTGATAGAGAGACGTGCAGTTTGGCAGATGGTGTGGATAAGGAGAGAGAGGTGAGGCGTGAGGAGGATTTGAGAGAGGAGGGGAGTGAGGAGAATTGGAGAGCGGAGGGGGATGAGGAGAGGGCCACTTTGGAGGAGTTGAGGAGGCAGCAGCTGAGAGGGGAGCAGTTGCTGGAGTGTGCAGCGTATAAGGTGGGAAAACCAAAGCGTTTGGCGGATGGAGGCACTGGTGTGGCGAAGGGGAGAGGGGAGAGGCGCGAGGAGGAATGGAGGGAGGAGGCGGGTGAGGAGAATTGGAGAGGGGAGGGGGATGAGGAGAGGGCCACTTTGGAGGAGTTGAGGAGGCAGCAGCTGACAGGGGAGCAGTTGCTGGAGTGTGCAGCGTATAAGGTGGGAAACTGTTGTACAATTGGTGCACTTACTGTAAATATGGACACACAATGTGGGCTGAGGAGGCAGCAGCTGAGAGGAGAGCAGTTGCTGGAGTGTGCAGCGTATAAGGTGAGAAACTGATGTATGCACGCACATAAGTGTTTATTGGTGCACACACAATGTGTGCGCTTGCACTAGATGGGTTGAGGAGGCAGCAGCTGAGAGGGGAGCAGTTGCTGGAGTGTGCAGCGTATAAGGTGAGAAACGAATGGCACCGTTTTGTTTAAGTCAGTTGGTTTTCCGTTCCAGATTTCATGTGTGCGCCCTGCATATGAGTGGTCAGTTTCTCATGCATGAATGCATGTGTGTGTGTGTGGGGGGGGGGGGGGGTGTGTGTGTGTGTGGGTGTGTGTGTGGGTGTGTGTGTGGGGGTGTGTGTGGGTGTGTGTGTGTGTGGTGTATATGTGTGTGTGTATGTGTGTGTGTGCATGTGTTTGCATGTGTGTGCATGTGTGTGAGTGCAGAACTACAAGAGGGGCGAGCCATGTGCAACGCTGTACATAAAGAACATCGCCAAGCCCGCCACTACCGCCGACTTGTTCCGTATATTCGGTCAGTCAGTCTCGGTCACTTCCACTCGTACTCTGAGGTGCATATTGAGGCGCCTCAAAATGCACCTCACTAAGTTAGTCTCGGTCACTTCCATTCGTACTCTCAGACTTTCAGTCAGGCACCTTCTTGAGGCGCCTCACAGAGAGGGGCGAGCTATGAGCAAACATATAAAGAGGGGCGAGCTATGAGCAAACATATAAAGTTTCGACCTGGATCCAGCAGGTGACTCGTCCTACTCCAACAGGTAACTTGTCCTAATGGCAGAGCTTAGGCTAGTAGGGATAGTAGGTAAGAAATCGTTAACACAGAGAGGGGCGAGCCATGAGCAACGCTGCACATAACGAACATCGCCAAGGCTGCCACCACCACCGACCTCTTTCGGGTCTTTGGTCAGTCTCACTCACTCACTTCCACTCGTACTCTCAGACTTTCAGTCAGGCACCTTTTTGAGGCGCCTCACAGAGAAGGGCGAGCCATGTGCAACGCTGCACATAACGAACATCCAAGGCCGCCACCACCACCAACCTGATTCGCATCTTTGGTCAGTCTCAGTCACTTTCGTTGGTACTCTCACTCAGTCCGTCACAACAAGCGGGGCGAGCCATGTGCAACACTGTACATAAAGAACATCGCCAAGCCCACCACCACCACCACCACCACCGACTTGTTCCGTATCTTTGGACAGTTACCGGGCGCCCTCAGTCAAATCAGTCACTCACTCACTTACTCACTCACTCGCCTTTTTTTGGCCTCTCAAGAAACGGGCGAGCCATGTGTCACGCTGCACATAAAGCACATCGCCAAGGCTGCCACCACAACTGACCTCTTTCGGATCTTTGGTCAGGCTCACTCACTCACTTCCACTCGTACTCTCAGACTTTCAGTCAGGCACCTTTTGAGGCGCCTCAAAGAGTGGGGCGATCCATGTGCCTCGCTGTACATAAAGAGCATTGCACCTTGCCACCAACCCATTGCAGCTGTTTCCTACTATGCCACTTAACTTTCCTACTATGCCACTTAACTTTCCTACTATGCCACTTAACTTTCCTACTATGCCACTTAACTTTTCAACTAGGCCACTTAACTTTTCAACTAGGCCACTTAACTTTTCAACTAGGCCACTTAACTTTTCAACTAGGCCACTTAACTTTTCAACTAGGCCACTTAACTTATCAACTATGCCACTTAACTTTTCAACTATGCCACTTAACTTTCCTACTATGCCACTTAACTTTCCTACTATGCCACTTAACTTTCCTACTATGCCACTTAACTTTTCAACTAGGCCACTTAACTTTTCAACTAGGCCACTTAACTTTTCAACTAGGCCACTTAACTTTTCAACTAGGCCACTTAACTTTTCAACTAGGCCACTTAACTTTTCAACTAGGCCACTTAACTTATCAACTATGCCACTTAACTTTTCAACTATGCCACTTAACTTTTCAACTATGCCACTTAACTTTTCAACTAGGCCACTTAACTTATCAACTATGCCACTTAACTTTTCAGCTATGCCACTTAACTTTTCAACTAGGCCACTTAACTTTTCAACTAGGCCACTTAACTTTTCAACTATGCCACTTAACTTATCACCTTCCATGCACCTTCTCCCTTGCTCTTCCCATCAACCCCCGCCCTCACCCGTGCATGTCTCCTTGGGTCACCAGGAGCTTTTTTCCCTGGCGACTCTGACTGGAAGTCAAAGATCGGAGTTCGGCTCATGCAGGTATGTTGGAGTTCGGCTCATGCAGGTATGATATGCTAGTGGCTTGTGTTACGATTTGGATCTATCGTGACGCTTGTAAACCCTCAATATCAGCATGTAGTTTCGATTGAGTGCTAGAATGATGTTTCTGCTTTGGTGTTTTTTCTTCATCTTCTTTTTGTTGTCCTTCTTTTGAAAGTATTCTCAAGCCCCACGCTTTCTCGAATGCTCGTGCCTGTGGCTGATATATATCGAGCCCATTTGATGCCATCTAATCTGATTGTCTTACAAATCCCTTGATGGCATTGCATGTGATCCCTCATGCAGCCCCCTAGCCCATCCTCCCTTTACTTGCCTCTGTCCTTCTCGTACGTTCATGTTCTCCTTACATTTAATCTACCATAATTCTCTTACACATCCCTCGATGGTATTGCATTTGTTTCTTCATTGACCGCCCTGGCCCATCCTCCCTATACGTGCCTCTGTCCTGCACTTACATTTATGACTCTCTTGCATTTTGATCTTCTGCCATGATGTGTGTATGTGGACGGAACCTTTGATAGGAAGGTCGGATGAAGGGCCAAGCATTTGTCACGCTTCCAACTCCAGAGCTTGCTACAGAAGCATTGGTAAGTTGCGCTTACATAAAGGTCCAGGCTTGCTGTGTTATTTCTGGATCATGGATTGTAGTTGGCTGGAGAGTATTTTTCAGCCTCTTTCAGTTGTTACATCCTTTTCTTGTTCAAATTTCACTTTCTGCAGGATGCCACACTTGGACTTGTGTTGCATGGCAAACCAGTTATTGTGCAATTTGGCCGAAGATAAGTTGGCTGTTCATGTATCTCGACTAGAGATGAAATAATACCTTGTTCATCCATTGTTATTTCAAGAATTCCGTGTAATTGCACACTTTGTCATCGCAAAGAGTAAGAACAGGCCACTACCTTTCTGCTTGTGAGGCTATTGGCCAAATCATTGGTATCAATTCATCAACAGTAAATAATTTCACATGTAGTATTCCACAATAATGTTCTCCAATTCATTTCTTTAGGATGTTTAGTGTTTCGAATGTAAAATGTAGTTTGGTTCTGGTTAGAATCCCGGTGTTCCTTATTCCACCTAGGAGTTGGTGACCAGCCATTGGGTTAGGGCAAGGGCTAGGCGTAGGTCCCTAAATCTAGATTTAGGGGTGAGTGGAAACCACTAGAAATACACTCGTAGGGTTTCGAAGTCGATATTGTCACATATTCAGCCTCAAGTTTTTCACCGGCCTAAGGAAATACTCTCACGATGTGCGCATTTCACTTCACATGTTCGGCGGTGTGCTCGTGTTCCACGGAAAACGACGCGACTCGAAATGCGGCGCGCCGAAGTGCAAGATTGAATCTCAAATTCACTTGGAAGTATAAATTCAAGCAAGCCTTCCTCAGCACAGCATTCCTTCAGCACAGCATTCCTTCAGCCTCTCGACAACACAAGCTGCTACTACTACCTTTTACTACTGGCTGCTTCTTTAACCGTCAGAAAACGGCAACCATGGCTCAGAAGGTCGCGGTTTTCGTCTTCACTTTAGCATGCCTCGCCGCAGTAGGTAAGCTGACAAGGAATCCTTCTCCGTATCTTAGCCCAGTCATACCGTCAATGACGTCACCAGCAGTACTTTTCACTGAACCACGGATGCAAACGCTGCGAACTCTCTCATAGCACACAAGCTGTCGGATTTCGTGCGTTTTATCGCAGGATTTGCGCGCCCTCCGGCGAGCGTTCGCACTCAGCTGGCGAAGATCGAGAAGAACGACGTGTTCCTGGGAACGTACCAGGGGTCGCTCTATGCTGAGCTGGACCACGTGGACGGCGCCGACAAGATGTCTGACGGCTATGCCTACATGGCAATCTACAAGTAAGCTCATGCATGATAACCCCCCATGAAGCTAAAACTGAGAAAAAATACTATAAAATCATTCCTGGATTTAATACAGATCTGTCATAAACCAGACTCCCCATTTGCGAACCCATGCAACCGTCACCACCATTCCTCTCACTTGAAAATGCAACTCGGCGAAGCAATATGGCACGGATTCAAAGTTTCGATCAATCCTGGCCCTGCATTCTATTCGCGTCTCAACGTTTTTCCAGGAAGGACGACGATTACAACATTCGCTTCGGTGGAGAGGCTGAATCCAAGGAGCCTGGGGAACCCACCGCGTTCACAATCAGCAGCGTCGCCGACAACAGCCTGGCTATCGACATAGGCGCGGGTCAGACATACAAGAACGCCACGTACGAGCTCCGCGTGTTCAAGTTCCTTCAGAAGTTCATTCCGTACTCGTACAAGTTCAAGGGCAAGTGGACCCAGGCGAGCACCGTTACTGTCGCCGCGGGCACGCTGAAGGACACCGTTGACGCGATGAAGCAGAACCCTAAGAACTACTACGCGATTTTCAACACGGCGACGAACCCTGCTGGCTGCGCCAAGGGCGAGTTTGATTTCATCCAGCCGTGGTGGAAGCGCCTGTAAGCACGGGACGGGACGGGAAATTCTAGCAGTAACAAGGAGCTCAGTTCAGCATGTGCTGAAGAATACCTAGCTTTGGATCTTGTTTTGAGGGGAAATGTGGTAGTTGATCCTGATGTGTAGGGGCTTGGTGTGCAAGTGCAGGGTGTAGGTTCACTCTCTTGGTGAACATTTCCCTCCAATTGTAGGGACTTTTTTCTTTTGTCGTGGGCTGCTGTTTGACTGGAGGTAATACATATATTAATCAACTTTGTTTATAGCGCTGAAATACACAGAAACGGTTTGAGACGCTTGGAAATACAGGGTTCTGAAGCTGAGCTAGTAGCTTTGGGTTGGGAGTAGCTTGGGTAGATTTGAGCTGTGTGTTTCCCTGCTGGTGGTTCTTTATTTGCAATCTGAAATGGAATACTCATAATAATCGATTTAAGTGTACATTTGTGCTGAAGGGGGGAAAGGCATAAGGTGCAGATTCATGCCGTGGGAATTGGTTGACGCAGCTACCAGGAAAGCGTGCACACTTTGGAAAATTATTGTCAGACACCAACATTCTTTTATCAGCTTCATATTTATATATTAACGAATCAATGGAAAAATTGCATTAAGATCAGACTGAATAACTGCGTACACGTTTCATTAAACAAGGCTCGACGATGAACGTCGTAAGGGTTGCGTAGTAGACATGGCAAGCAACCTGTACAGTAGCAACTGACGATTGATTGTTCACTTTTACCGCGTCATGAATACCATACTCAAGATAAATGTAACGCAGTTGTGCATATAATGTTTTTTTTTCCAGTAAGTTTTACTTTACATATGTATTGCATTTTTGTCTTTATCTCACACTATAAATCATGTGGAACTTCGAGTGAAGAATATAAGCATGTACTATTAGATAAGAGATTTACGACTGTACTATTATGGGGAACGTGCGTTTAGTTTTCCACTTTCTGGAGCTTGCACAAACTGCACATGAAATGGAGCTGAGTCAGCTGAATTTCAAGTGCGCACACATGCTGACTCTAACGCATTATCGCTGGCGCTGGTTCCTGGTATACTTCCTCATGTTTCTCCAGATCGTATGATGTTTCTTGCACATGTTCCGAAGCGCTTGTTTTTCCCGAAGCGCATCTTTCTTGCTCTTTCGATGCCCACTCGAATTATCGAAGTAGAACACCATTCAAGCAAGCTCCGTGTTTCTTGTTTCAGTCATCCGTTAATCACAAGTTGCTTGCTTCTCGATTCTTGATTTTAATCACAAGTTCCTTGATTCTAGCAAGATTGTTCAACGTTGACAGAGCAATAGTCTCCACTCCCACTGCCGCGCTTCATCAGTTGCTCCGGTAGGTGCTATTAGCCTTAGCAGGGCGCTTTGGCGCCTCGAAGGCTGACGCCTGGCGCCTTGTTCGCTGGCGCCATGACGCCTTTTTCGCACGCGCCATGGCGCCTTGTTCGCTGGCGCCATGGCGCCTTCATCGCGGATTTTACAAGGGCCGGAAGTCACCGAAGATTGACAACTTTGTGACTTTTCCGTGACGGATTCCAGTCACGGGAAAGTCATGGTTGAAAGTCCCAGTTTGCGCAGTCACGTTGCCAGTGACCTCCGCGTCACCGAAATGTCCCCCAAATGTCACAAAATCCTCACCTTTCCGTTACATGCCTAGTCACACCTTCGTGACTGGCATTCCACCCTCCCGTCACCGTCTCCCATGTACCTTTCGGGTCACAGCAACATCACAGATAAACACCACCGCCACGTCAGCATACACGTGGGGTTCAAAGACAGCTCCGCGTAACAACTAGCTGACTCACAAAGAGAACGTACGCCAGGTGTTCATTCGCGTCCGCCAATTGGGTCTCGCCACTAGTCCGCACATCCAAAATTTACCGGACGGCCCAGATGCAACATATCGCCCTTCACATCAACGTACCATGATCATCCACGAAGGACGCACTTGTCCATACTGGCCGTCGATAGAACCACAACTGTACAGTCAAGATTTGTCGCACTCTTTCGTTGCGTTTTCGCCAACCACATGCTACACAGATCCGGCCGTACAACCACCCAATATCCCACGGATGTTGTCGCGCTCGCAACTACCTGCCCTCCTGATACGGTGCCATCATCTGAACCGTCCACCTGCACACACATCTATGTAACATATCACCACCTGTCATTCACGGTGAGGATTCGACGTCCACTTCTGATCCAGGAAGCACACTACCTCCGATCCAACCGTCCTCGATGCTCCACATGTAAAACGCACAACGCTCTCTCCGGCGCGCAGATCTACGGCACACGTTTGCCTGTCCATCACTCGCGATCCTCGTCCAAACTTATTCGGCCAATCCACGTCCAGCATACCTCTGCCAAAGCATTTCGCATGATACTGAACGATTCTTCCCAGCCATGTAGCCATATGTTTATAACTTGGTAACAACACATCTGGGCCATATATCTCTTCCCTACATACCACTACGACCGTACATCACGCGACTCGACGCGCCGCCACAGTGTGCGCTCTACATCCAACCGTCCATCCCGTACCCACGTATCACCATCCAACCGTCCATTCATTTCCCAATGTATAAAAACGCCTACTTCGCTAATATCCCACGCCCACATTTTCACCAGGTAAGCCTGTAGGCTCTCGCTAGTGTTATGCACTTTGATCAGAACCAAAGCGTCCTCCCCTTTCGACAAAGGCATAAGGCATCTTGAAATCACGCCTACTTACGGTTTAGCATCACACATGTTCCACTCAACATTACACACCTCGTGCTACACAACAACCATCACTACGTCATGCCACATCGCAGCTTCCCCCCTACCGATACCCACAACTAGTCTCGCACAACACTGAAGCTCTTCACCCAGCCCAATACGGTTGTAGTGTTACATTCATTTCAGTTCAGAGAGAGATTGTCCCCCTCCCTCCCGCTCTCGCTGGCTGCTGGCGCTGCCGTCGCCAGGCGCTCGATGCCGCACGAAGAAAGGCGCAGGCCATGGCGGCCCCAAGCCCAGGAGGAAGTTGTTGCGTCGTACGCGGGCTGGAACTCATCGACAGCCGCCATGACGTCCGTCAGGGCACACTCGCGGAGGCCGTCCACGATCTGCGCGTTGACACCCGCAGAGTTGGACAGCCTGCCCTTGCGGGTCTCCCAGAAGCGGATGGCATCGGTCACCTGCACACCATAGGTAAATGCCAAGGGTTAGGACTGTACTCGTCCACGTACTACGGCAGTGAGGTTGGAACCAACTGTCTACATTACGACTACTTACCACGTGCTCGAGCCAGGCCATGTGGTACAGCTTCAGCGTCACCGTGCCGTTGATCATCCGCGGCTTGAACGCCGCACGGGCACAGGCCGCGAACGCACCGGACGCAAAAGGCATGCCGCGCCGGTCCGCGCTCCACTTGGATATAGCGAACACGTCTGCGATCGATACCGGCACAGCACACGTCAGTCCGCTAACCATCCACATGCGGTCCACACAAAAAAGCATGTACATGTCGTACCCTCCCCATCGAGCGTCATAGCAAGTCGCTCCCGGACCCTCGCCGCTGAACGTGCCCTTGGTGCCGCCCACGGGATTTGCGCGTCCCGCTCGTCGCGAAAAAGCCCGAGTTTCGGCAGCGCAATGTCGCGCACGCGTGCAGCCGCCGCCGTCTTCCAGTCGCTCAGGGTGCGGTTGAGGTCACAGCGCCTTGCCTTGTCGGCCGCCAAAGCCAGGCTAGCGAAGGGGAGGGGCAGGCTGTCGATGACGGCGCACAAAGCTGCCGTCTTTGCCGCGCTGCTCGGGTAGAACGTCATGGCCTTGCTGTCCGCCGAGATGAACAGATGCACGCGCAACTGCTCGCATATCTCATGCACTTGGCGGGGTACCCAAGCAATGCGCATCAAAACCGATTAGCATCCGCAACACCATGGGTCCTGAGTGTATATAAACCTACATGGCTGCAATACAACATGGCAAACATCAAAACACACAAGCATTACGTGCCTTCCATCCTTTGTTCGTCGGCAGAAACTTCAGCGCGCGCTGGAGAACAGGCGACGTGGACGATCGCATGTGCTGCCAGTGCTCCTCCTCCACCTCGTCCTCGTCCAGGTCGGACTCCTCTGGCGTTGCGACGCGACGGGCCTTCCTTGCATTCGGCGCCCTATCAAACACCCCGCGCGCGTTGTCCCGCTTGCGTTTCTTTGCGGTGTGGTTGGCAAGCGACGCAAGCAGCGCCGTCTCGAGCCTCGCAAGTGTCGCAGACGTGTCCTTCTGCGTTTTGCACATAACGTCAAACTCCTCCCTGGTAACAGGGGCCGAGTCGGAGCGTTCCTCATTAGTCTGATCCACGTCGTCGTCTGCGGCAGCATTGACACGCGGAAGCGCCTCGTTCGGGTTGTCGTCAGACGACTCGGGCTCCGGTTCCTCCGGCGGCGCTTCGGTCTCTTCCTCCGTTTCAGGCAGGTCCGATACCTTGCGACGCTTCTCGTTCCTCGCCGAACGCCCATTCCCTACAGACGACGAAGGGCCCTCCTTCCGCCTATTCTTGGCGACCGTACCACGCGACGATGAGCTCTCTCCCTCACGTGCGTCGGGTTGATTGGGCTCCGGGGAGGAGGCTGCACAAACATGTAGGACGGAACGTCAAAACATGTCGGCCGGACGTCGCCCCTTGAACACCAACACATACAAATACACCATGCTAATTTAAACGGATGAGCATCACCCCACCCACACTTACACCTATCAGAAGTGACGCTTGTCGGTGCACGTACAACCGCCTTCTTATCCCTCGCGCCATTGGCCTTCGGCACAGGCGGCCTCCTGGAAGTCCCAGGCACCACATAGTGCGTGAGGTGCTTGGGTGGCTTGGACACTCGCTGACGTTTCCCCTCCCTGGACGCGCGGATGCTGTCGTTGCCACTGTCCATATTGGCAGAGTACCATGGACGGTTGGTGTCCAGAATGACGAGATTTCCGGGCTTTGAGCACAGAGAGACAGTGAGACACGTCTGTGTCCAGAATTTTGCGGACAGTGACGAGGTGGATGAGTCTCCTGCCGGAAATCTGCCAGCCAATCGGCAGTCGACACCAAACCACATCTTTTTATCGCCTCACTGTGGGCCTACCCGTGGCCAAACCACGACCTCACAAGCTCACCAACTTACGTCGCGTACATACACCTTCGTGCTACACTTACGTTGAGTCACATGTAGGTGTACAACCACAAAACAAAAACAGAAGGTGATCCATATGCCCTTGTTTCAACCCCAAAAAAAAACTACTAGTAGCACCAGCATAATCCCATGTTCACGACTAAACCAGACTTCAAACACACAGATGCATCATATCTCAGGCCGTGCGCATGTCTACTGCTTCACCATCCACCCCTTCCCCAGTGGACACTTCTACGCTCTCCCCGTCCCCCTCCGCACCCCCCCCTGGTGCATCCACACTAGTGCACAGGCGTCGCGCCTGTGGGTTCGACTTGCCACCCTTCTCCGGCTGAAATGGTGTTCCAGGCTTGATCCCTATGTCATCCATTGCCTTACGCCATTCCCTCCACCGATACCACTGCCGTTTGTGCACGAGGTGACGCACATCATCCTCAATGCACCCCTCCAGCGCCGTCATCTCGGCCGCGGTCAGCTCCATGACCTTGGGAAAGGTGTCCTTCCTCCGTATCACGAATGCGCCAGCGGCGTACGCGTACGCCGCGTCCTCTTCCCTCTGGTATGCGCCCAGCCGAACCTGACGGCCTGTACTCGGATCGGCCGTAAACTTCGTGCACCACTTCCCGACGTGTTTTTCGAACCAGACTCCCGTGTACTCGCTCGTGCCACCCCTCTTTTTCTCTCCGGAGCCAGCAGACGCCGTTGCCTTAGCCGCTGCAGATCGTGGCTTTCTCGTCCCTCCGCCTCGACACTTGTCTGGTGAGGTATCGTGGGTGTTCGGACCCTGCGTCTCATCGCTGTCACTGCGCGCCTTGCGAGTTGCGCCGGTGTCTTCCTGCTGTCGGCGAGCCCATATCGCGGGGACAGGACGTAGTGGCTCTGGTGTCTCGTGCAACATCTCGGCCAGTGTCTGCTGTGCGCCCGATCGCTCCGCCGAGTTCTTTGCCTCTGACAACCGACGGAGAAGAGGCGTCCCACATGTGCTCAGCTCATGCGCGCACGCGGCCCGGAGCTCTGGTAAGTCATACCCCAGTGCCTTTGCGATGCTCGTGACCGCTGAGGCCAACACGAACCCTCCCAACTCCATGTTGGTTCGCTCACGCGACATCCGTGCCAGCTCCATGCGCACGTCATCATCCTTTGGGAACATCAGAACACCATGGTCCCCCACTATTGGAATGGGCTGAAGGGGCACCTGAATCTCCTCCAGTAGTAGTTGCACTAGCAGCTCCCCTGTGGCGAGACTGCAAACATCGGCGCGCATGCCGCGCCGAAAGTCCTTGGCCGTTACACCGTCACATGACACCCACTTGCGAACCGTGGTGAAATCCGACCTTACGAGGTACTTCGTGTACATGCACACAAAACCACTTCTGTGGAATCACTTCTTTCTGCCAGGTATACATGGTGGGAAAGGATCGTTACACAGCACTCAATGAATCCACAACATGATATGAAATGCGAACCGTCAGACCAACACCGTCCCACGACTGCAACATTCCTCACCGGTATGACTATGTGCTCTGCTTCCTGGATTTTCTCAGCAGCTTTGACAGGGTTGTCCGTTGGCAGCTGCGACTCGTGGATCATGAGGAGTGTCCTGCGTCAAGCACACACATTGGTGAGGCGTATTTACCTCCTACGACCTCGTACAGCAGGATGCACAGTAACACAACTGCTTACTTCCTCACACCATCGATGATGGATGGGTCCATGGCGTGCATGCCGCTGCTGTCATAGTGCACAAGCTTGACTCCTTCCGTAACGTGGTCGGCTCGTTTCCCAGATGTCATTGTCGCGAGGTTCAGAGCTACGACCAGTGAGAAGTGGCTCCTGCACATGCAGCCGATGGCAGGCCCACACAATCAGCAACGCACTTAGGGACAGTGGCGAAGACTTTACGTGCGTCCACACAATACTCCCACCTTGCAATGACTGGAATGGCCACGTAATCCACATCGAAGATACATGGAGACCCTCCCATCGGCCAGGTCCTGTCCAGAACCGTGGCGTAGACGAATGATTTAGTGTCGAGCGGGAACCACGTCTTCCCGTCTTTCAGTGTAGTATGTCTGATGTTAAGAAGTCTGCACGCACAGCCACAACACACATATAACGACTCTCCTACCTACTCGGAAACATAGTGCACATTGAAACTGGGGGCAAGGAAACCCTTACATGTTGTGGAAATCGACCATGGTGTCTGCCAGATACTTCCCGTCGGCAATAGAAAGAGCGTCCATCGCCGTGATCTGACATCCAACCCCGTGCGGGCCGAATAGGGTTAGAGTTCAGAAATCTCGACGCACAACCGGATCTCGCAGCCTCTTAGTCAAGTCGTCTGGCTGGTCGTCTACGGGAGACCCACTGCCTCGGACGATCCACCCCTGTGCAGATGGCCTTGTCTCGCGCTTATCATCACCGACTTCCTTCAGGTCAGCATCGGGCGCCTTTGTGTCCGTTCCCGGCGGGCGAGTGAGCATACGCTCTATTAGGGCCGTCACGTGAGGTCCGCGTGGGGGAGACCCTTCCTTTTCCTCGCGCTTAGCACCCCGTCCACGAATTCTCTTCATGCTGGACGCAAACCTCCGAGGACGTAAAGGGTATGGCCAAAACTGATATCGTCTGGACAGGCAGGAGCAACCGCTTGTTGTCTAGCTGCTCAATCCAAGACACGGACACTTTTGGCCTAGTGCGGAATAATAGGTTGGAGACGAAGGTTATGGAATGTGGAGCGGACGGAACTCGGACACGCAGAGACATCGCATGACGTGTCCACGTGTCCACAGGTGGTGAATGCGCGCCAAAAAAGAGCTTTCTGGATCCGAGGTTTACGAGTTGGTTTCGTGCTATGCTCGGAATCAACGTTTGCTCCGTTACAAAGTGTTTTCGCGTAAACACTACATTGAACACCAGTACAGCGCGGATAGTTCATATCACATCGAACCCGCCGCAAATCAAGATAGGCAAATCAACGAAGTCCGAGCTGTACATTGTCACTGCGCTGAACATCGGGCAGGCAAGATGGTGTGGTTGGTAGCGTGCGGACTGGTGAAGTACCTTTTATAGCGTGTTCCGACACTAACATGCAAATAAAAGCATAAATAAACAACACAACATCAGGCAAACACCGTACTATCCATCCGTTCACCAGGGGAGAACGTTTCGTAGTGTTTCCCTTGACAAACTCTAATAGCTTCTACCGCTGATGGATGAAGCAAGAGGTGAGCTATAACACAGAAGGGCGGCTGTGTCGTCGTCAGAGCTGTCACTGCATAGGGACCTCCCACGTCCGGCGGTGGCACGGCGGGCGCGTTTAAGGGGGGTCCGGCGAAGACGCTCCACCACTTCGTCGTTTTCGACCCCTACTCGCTCAGGGACGTCGCGCGGACTTATGCCCATCTCGGCCGCCGTGCGGACATACGACTGCGTTACCGCGCGCACCAAGCGCCGTCGGGTTCTAGGGTCGCGAGAAATTGTCCCTTCGGGCATGGGACGCAGTGCGGCCGATCCTCCCGCGATAGACGCCTCCACATGAGTCGGCCGTCCAACGGACGACAGTAGCCGCCCGTCACACGAGGCATAGTCTGTAGCGGCCATGAAGCGCGGCGCACCTCTGGCGAAGCGGTCGATTAGGATCTGCAGCTGTACCAACTGCTTGATGAGGGGCTCGCGAGTCACGGCCGTATGCGGGTATTCGGTTAGGAAGAGGAGCTCGCGCCACGCCAGGGGCATAACGCCAGACCGTGCCCACGTGAGATGCACTGCCCAAGGCGGCGTATGGCGCCACGCCCTACCGACCCAGACCAGCAGGTTGTCGTACAGAATGAGAGGTATTAAACCCTTCGCGCGCCACTCCCCGTCCGTGGTTACGAAGGACAGGTAAATGCTGCGGAAGATTGCCTTGAACATCTCGAGAATGCCGTTGAACCAGGGGAAGTTGACTGGGTCCACGACGCCACCAATGTTAACGATTAAAGTGTTGGATAGCTCCTGCACTGGGAACCCCAAGACAACGGCCTCCTTACACGACGCGTCCAGCGAGCGGTGCATCCTGCCAGAGACGAGAATCAGAGCCGTCTTGTTGTGCGCAAGATGGTCACCATTGAAGTTGCCAATTAACTCGCTGAAAAACTGAAACATGGAAAGCACACGGTAATGGTGAGAACAGGCGCCCTTGCCGCACGGACATGAACTAAGCGTATGTTTCGAAATACCTTTGGACATACCTCGCCGGACAACTCGCCGCTCTTTGTCTGACGAAGGTGCACGTGGTCGCCCTCACGGAGGCCGTGTGGGGACGGGCGAGCGCCATTGCGTCGCCTGACTACGGTCGGAGGTAAGACCATACTCCCCGAAGCGTTGAAGAGGATACACACGCGCAGCTCGCACTTGGGCTTGTACCCCGAATCAGGGTCGAAGTAGCTGCTATACGGCAGCGTTGTAGCAAGCAAGGGGGTCTCCACAAAGCAGAACACGTCATCGGGTCGGGCCTGCAAGGACTCAAGAAGGTGCACCAATGCAGCCATGGCGGACTCGCGTGTGCTTCTCAAAACGGGTGGACGGTGGGTTATAGTACGTTGCGGTCCATGAGAGAGACGTGTAAGGCGTGCAGTGAGTTGGACACCGGAGTGTCCACCTCCTGTACACTATCCCTCTCCATCCCGGTGGATCGCGGTGTGACACGTCACTGTCACAGATGGTGGACACCGATTTGTACTGGACGGGAGTTGAGTCCACCGTGTGGATGAGGCTCCCTAGTGTCCACACAACGTCATCGCTGCTGGACTGATTGAGGGCATTTCGGACGGATTGGCTTAGCCACCAATGTGCCATACATGTGGTTGGTATGGTGTGAAAATTTGTTGTGACACTGTAAACCGTTGCGGGGAGGCAATTGGCGAGGACGCAACAAAGAACCATATATGCAGACCGTCCACGCAAAGTGTAGCACACTGTGGACCGTGTCTAAAGTGGGTCGCATAGTGCGTGTTCTAACGTCACTGGACCGTACGTCTTGAGTACAGTTTAGCTTCTATATACATGGTGATTTGCGTAATAGGGAATGGCACCATGATGATTCAACGTCCGAAGGCGTTTGGCTGGATTAGGGTCTGTTGAGACTATCTGCTGGGTTCACAACTACAGACGCAGTTCTGGGTGTTGTTCCTTTCACCTGTAATAGAAACCCTAAACTCCCCGTAAGAGTCGCCCTTACACCGGCCTAGCCTCCCTGCGACAACGTGAGTTCATACATACGCATGTCGACCATCGTGTGCGCACGGTGTGGCGCTGCACTACCGAACGAACCAGCGCTACACGCGCACCGGGCCCACAGCGTCCACTGCGCGGGACTGCCTGCGCGTTCCGACTTTCGTGGGCAGATAGTTCTTAATGTGGAAGATGCGCGCGCAGACGTATACACGGATGATACGGACACTGAGGGTTCATTGCAGAGCGGTGTTCGAGAGCTAGGATGGCTCTGGAACCTGTGTCACACAGGGGGATTGTCGCGCAGGGACGTCAACGGGCTGTTGCGCACCATAAGAAACCCTCATTTTTCTCCGCGACAGCTCCAACATCTGGGCTTTGGGGGTTAGAGAGGATGCTGGCTATAGAGTAACCGTTATACGCTGGTTGGCCCGGAATCTCAGTCGTGTGCAGATATGAGACCATATGTGGTCTTTCGTGAAGGGACAAGGGGTCTGTGCATAGGGCTTAGCTCAGGGGCCGGACCCCCCAACACGTATTGAACATCATTGACATTTTCAGCGTGTCAAGCATCGCGTGGAGTTAGGGTTTCTTAGTACCACTTGGAGCTATGTTGGGCAACACATGCGAGGCGTGTGGGGCCGAGCACGTGGATGATAATACTCTGCAGTCTCACTTGGCGAACAACACACGATGCAGACGTAAGATCAACCACGCTAGGGCGGAGCGGCTCGTAGAGGCGTATAGAGAGGCAGTACGAGCCATGCGAGGCGAACGCCCACCGGAACCTGCAAGGTCACGTCATTCTGGCGATGCCGGAGAGGCGGACGGACCCGCACGCCAGCATCAGGATGCAGAGGATCCACTCGGGGACGCGATTGCGCAGGACGACGATGCGGATAGTGACATGAGTAGTATTGACGACGGTTTCGACACTCTAACCGAGCTATACATTTTCTTCCGTGACGCTGACCTGTCGAGAAGGGAGGTAAACAGGTTACTCAACATATTCGCGAACCCCCGATTCTCTGTGCGAGATGTCCGACGTTGGATGAACTTTGTCGACGTGAGGAGGTTCGGGAAGATGATGGCTCCGCCCGATCTTGTGCCATGGCAGAAGACCGTTATCAAATGCTACGGTCCCGGTGGAAAAATGGCAAACCTCCCCCTACATTTCAGGAACACGGAGCTGGTGAGCCTGAGGCCAGGGACATGTGGTGTGTTAGTAGGTGGCCGTCACTTGCGCTGGCTACACGCTGAAGGGCTGACGGATGTATTGTCTTTTAATGGGCATCGCAGTTGGTGCAGAAGCTGGTGCGCACGTTCGTACAATCAGAGGGGTTTGTGACGGAGCCTCGGAGGGACAAGGAGGACACGGAGGAGAAGCGGCATGTCAGCTCCCCCGACACCGGAGTATGGCTGGAACAGGCTCATGCTAGCCGGCCAAAGCAGGAGGGGATCATTCTGGGTGTGATTGTGTACAGCGACAGTACGCACGCGAGTGCCAACGGGAGGCTACAAGCGTGGCCAGTACTGATAAGCCTGATGAACATCCCAGAGGCACTGAGATGGTTAGAGCCAGGGCACGTGATGGCGGGGTTGCTGCCTTTCCCACCGGACTGGGCCACGTCCACCGAGAAGACCCGTGTGTTTCAGGAGGCGATGGCTATCATTTTTTAGCCTCTACTGAGGGAGCACCGAGGGTGAGTTGGTTGTGGAATTTTCATGGTTTCTGTCCTCTCCGCGTGTATCGGGTTGCACTGATGTTGCGGCGTGCATTCGTGGATGCAGTTCAGAGGTGAAGTTCATCTACGTTACAGATGCATCCGGACAAGTGGTGAAGGGTATCCCCTGCTTGTTTGCAGAGGTGGGGGACTACCCCGAGTCGTCCAGGTGCACGGCGACAATGCAGCAGGGTTCTCACATACCTTGCAGCTCGTGCTACATCAAGAAGACCAGTCTGGCCGAACTGAGGACGGAGACGACTGTGAGGACCGTGGAACTGCACCGGAAGGTGGTGTCGTGGATGCAGAACGCTTCCAAGAAGGACGAGGCTGACAAGATCAGAAGGCGATGGTCGACACACCCCGTGCAGGTCAGCAGTGTCCGAAGAAGAATGTGCTCGTCGTTCGGTGCCGTATGCACTTGCTTATGTGCAGTGTGCGTCGTGGTGGTGGGTTGGTGGCAGACGGTTCTAGAGAGGTGGAATTTTTCGGAGACTACATGGGGAAACGTATTTCTGGCTTGCGTGGCGGATGTGCTGCATGTGCTGGACGGAGGGTTCCTTGGACACATGGTGGACGAGTTCATCTCTCCCCTCAGCAAGCCGGAAAGGAGAGAACTGCAGAGGTGGGTGTTGAGGTTCTACGTCGTCTGCATGCGTGATGGTCTGAATTGACGCAATGCTTGGGCTTTTGTGTCGAACATGTGCAGGCGAAAGAAGGAGCAGAAGAAGGACACGCGATCCACGGTGGTCAGGATCCCGGGTGGAAGTTCTTGGTTCAAGTCACGTGCAAACTACGCGGCGTTCGAGAACAGGGGCATGATGCAAGTGATGCCGTTACTCATCGCGGACAACATGGAAGGGTGCGAGCCCGAGGAGAAGGAGCAGCGTTTCAAGGAGGTGAGGGCGTTCCGGAGGTACGCCGTATTCTACAAGTCGCTGCTCGGCGTGAACAAGCACACGGAGAGGACGCTCAGTGACGTGCGGCAGTACGCGTACACGTGAGTGGGGTCATGTGTGGTGTGCATATGGGTGGGGGACGGCTGTGGTGTGTGAAGGGTGATGTGGACTCAATGGAGCAGACGTTCGTACGCATGGGTGTAGATGTGGCACCGAGTCATTACGGCCTGGTTTCATTCATGTTCACTTGCACAGTAATCATGTGTGGTAGGGATGTGATGTCGCAGTATGGTGGACGCAGTTCAGGACGCTTTTCAATCGCAAGCGTCCGCGTGGAACTTACCGAAGGTGCACCAGATAATTCATCTCATTGACGGCATCATGCTTCGTGGGATGCCGTTTGAGTACTCAACGAACCTGTGGGAGCACACTTGCAACGGCACCGTGAAGGTGCCCGTGCGCGGGAGTAACTGGAAGGACATTCCCCGACGAATCGTGGAGGAGGAGGTGCAGAGGGAGATCACACGGGAGGTGGCGGCCTTGGCGGGGGGAGGAAGGCAGTACGTCAGTGCCCTGCGTGAGGTAAGATGGCTTAGAAGGCTTGACTCGTAGGAATATGGGACGCGGAATGACTGACAGAATATGAAGGGAATGGGGGGAGTCGTAGACCACATAAGGATGTATGCATGGGTGGCCGTGCACTTTGTGGTCAGATGACGGTGTGGTTCGGATATTATCAATTTGCGTCGCAAATGGTGTTATAAATCATGCCGGGGTTTCCCTGAGGATGTGGAGTGTGTGCGTATCGCTTGTATCCTCCGTTTCAGGCGGTGATACTTCAAACGTACGTCCTGACGAGGAAGTCGAGGAATGCGGACGTAAGCGACGGCGAGGACGCAGTGCTGTGGGCGTACAAGGAGGCACTAGGCTCTGACATGAAGGAGCTGGGCAGGTGCCTGGCAGCCGCTGGTGTGGCGGGCACCGCCATCAAGGTGAGCACCATCGTATGCCTCTGGACACTGCGCGGACAGTGAGGTGTGTTCGTAAAGGACAGGGGGGGGGGGGGGGGGGGGGGGTTTGCGTTCTATGCTTGATTTGTGATGGCCCGCGCTGAGTTCCATGTTTACGCCGTATGTACAGGTACACACTGCGGTGGCCATTCCGCGTACCCGTGGCGGGGAGCTTGTGGCCAAGGGCACGTTCGTGAAGGCCAGCCCGTCTGAGATGTGGTTTTCGGACGTCGCTGTCAGGGCGAAGAAGGATAAGGAGGAGTGGTACGCACGATGCCTGTGCGTGTTCCGTGCAACGGACGCGAGTGGGGACGGAGGGTAGGTATGCATATGTTAAGTACTATGAGGCGGCGGGAGTTTGCCCCATGACCACCTGCGTGCAGCTAACCCCTGGGAGGGTCTCCACACGCTACTCAGTGGTGGACGTGGAGTGCATCAAGCGTGTGGTGCATGTCTGCAAGTCTTATGTGAACAAGAAGGTCATGCTGCTCAACAAGTTTCTGCTGTGTGAGTAGGGGCAGCTTATGTTTAAAGGACGCGCTCGCGGACGTGTGTAGTATATAGTGTGTGCTTTGACAAGCTGTTATTGGTCGTAGGACCATGTGTTTCAGCAATGAGGACCGTCGTTGCGGTGTTTAGTGGGACAAGCGTGAGACTTGTGCACCTCTTATGCTACATCCTTAGTGTAGTGAAATGCATATTTTAACGAACTACACCGGATACAGACTGTAGGCGGGTTGGATGTATGGGGGACGCACGGGTTGATTTGTGCGGTCCGCTGAAAATTGAAATGCGGCTCGCTGTGCAATTGTAATGTGCGCCTCGAGAGAGGCGACGCGACGCCAGGGAGGGGAATTGAGGCGGTGACCAAAAGGTCACGAAATTGGCGGGATGTTTTGGGGGTGTGTTGGGACTTTCTGTGTGTTCTTTCGTAGATAAACCCACGAGAGCCAAATTTGGGGGGCTGCCAAATCCGCGATGTTGTTCGCTGGCGCCATGGCGCCTTGTTCGCAGGCGCCATGGCGCCTTGTTCGCTGGCGCCATGGCGCCTTGTTCGCTGGCGCCATGGCGCCTTGTTCGCTGGCGCCATGGCGCCTTGTTCGCTGGCGCCATGGCGCCTTGTTCGCTGGCGCCATGGCGCCTTGTTCGCTGGCGCCATGGCGCCTTGTTCGCTGGCGCCATGGCGCCTTGTTCGCTGGCGCCATGGCGCCTTGTTCGCTGGCGCCATGGCGCCTTGTTCGCTGGCGCCTTGGCGCCTTGTTCGCTGGCGCCATGGCGCCTTGTTCGCAGGCGCCATGGCGCCTTGTTTGCAGGCGCCATGGCGCCTTGTTCGCTGGCGCCATGGCGCCTTGTTCGCTGGCGCCATGGCGCCTTGTTCGCTGGCGCCATGGCGCCTTGTTCGCTGGCGCCATGGCGCCTTGTTCGCTGGCGCCATGGCGCCTTGTTCGCTGGCGCCATGACGCCTTGTTCGCTGGCGCCTTGGCGCCTTGTTCGCTGGCGCCATGGCGCCTTGTTCGCTGGCGCCATGGCGCCTTGTTCGCTGGCGCCTTGGCGCCTTGAAAGATTGCGCCTTGGTGCCATGAATTCTGGCGCCTTTGCGCTTTGATCGTTGGTGACTCTCATGCCCCTATACTAGGTGGGACCATCTTGTTTGCGTCTCAAGTGCTCACGGGCTTTACTACTAGTAAAGCTGCTGATGTTGTCCTCTCCCATCTCCCATCCATCCTATCCCCTTCGTTTGGTCATCCGTTTCTTGCTGCAGATCTTCCGTGAAGTGCCCCTTATCTTCTACGGCCTGTTGTTGCTCTCACTCTCCCTTGCCGCGCTTGCTATTGATCCCAGCGTCGTAAGCATCTCTACACCCAACCTTATGAATCGTTCCTTGTTGCAGCGAACCTTGCCTTCACATGTTCCTCGTCTCTCACATTCCTCGCTTCACACATCGCTCGCCTCTCATGCCTCTCACCTGACATGTCCCTCACTTGACATGTCCCTTGCGTCTCATGTCCCTTGCTTCTCATGTCCCTTGCTTCTCATGACCCTTGCTTCTCTTGTTCCTCACTTGACATGTCCCTTGCGTCTCATGTCCCTTGCTTCTCATGTCCATTGCTTCTCATGACCCTTGCTTCTCTTGTTCCTTGATAAGGCACCAAATTGCAACCCTCTCTTTCCCTATTCGTATTCCCTAAGTCTCCTCGCCCTTCAACCTCAGGCAAATCCTTTGCAACTCCTTGTCCAACTTCGTTGATTAAGTTCTCTTCATTTCCATATTCATCACTACCTTGTAAGGCACCTCTTGTACCTGAAAACCGAGGTTATTTCAAAGTAGATGAGACGACTGCTTTGTTTCTTATTGTCTCCCGTACGTTCTCTTGTATCTTCTTTCCCTTGCTTCTCATGTCCCTCGCTTCTCATGTTCCTTGATAAGGCACCAAGTTGCAACCCTCTCTTTCCCTATTCGTCTTCCCTCAGTCTCTTCGCCCTTCAACATCAGGAAAATCCTTTGCAACTCCTTGTCCAAGTTCGTTGATCCAATTCTCTTCACTTTCATATTCATCACTACCCTGTAAGGCACCTCTTGTACCTGAAAACCGAGGTTATTTCAAAGTAGATAAAAAGGCTGCTTTGTTTCTTATTGTCTCCTGTACGTTTTCTTGTATCTTCTTTCTCTCCGTATTTCTACCATATTCTTATACAATTCACCACACCATGTCTGTCAATTTTTCTTATCTCTCCCATACATCTTGATTTATCCCCACCACAGACATCTTGTTTGCACCCTATTGTATCGTTGCGCACGCGTCTAGACTTGAAACACTTCACCAGCTCCATCCCCTTCGGCAACCAGAAAGCCAACAGCTTTAATCATCCTGTAAGAAGTTACTCAGTGGTTTTCCTCCCAATGCATCTCAAGAAGCATATACACAACACCAACTCTCCCGAAAAGCACCTCTGTGCTATGCCATTTTTGTCCTTCCTAACTTTTCGAGCTGCTCTCCATTCTGAGACACTTGTAAATTGTTTTTCTTAAACGTCTCTTTTGCCGAGTTCTTGCCTCTTCTTAGTCCACCTGTCCCCTGCACCCATCCCCTCCATGATCCATCCCCTCCTCTAAGACTCGTCCTTAACAACCTCCTCGCAAGGTCACTCATATCAAGAACACATCATTCGTTCCCTCCATCCTTCCCTCCATGTTCTCCAACCTGGTATCCCTCCTCATCCTCTCAGATCCGTCCCCAACAAGCTGTTAACAGGGTCACTATCAGCCTCTGTCCGCCCTCCGCCAACTCGTTCCCATGTGAGTTTTTAATGCGTTTTTTTAGGTCACTTGCACGTGAGCGAGTGCATGGCTGAGTGCATGAATGAGTGCATAGGTGAGTAAGAAGTTGAGCATTCATGGCGCCTTGTTCGCTGGCGCCATGGCGCCATGGCGCCTTGTGAGTCCTATGGCTTGTGGTGAGTCGTTAGGCTGCGTAAGTGAGTGAGTGCTAAGGTGAGTCGTTGGGCTTGTGGTGAGTCGTTGGGCTTGTGGTGAGTCGTTGGGCTTGTGGTGAGTCGTTGGGCTTGTGGTGAGTCGTTGGACTTGTGGTGTGTCGTTGGGCTTGTGGTGAGTCCTTGGGCTTGTGGTGAGTCCTTGGGCTTGTGGTGAGTCGTTGGACTTGTGGTGTGTCGTTGGGCTTGTGGTGAGTCGTTGGGCTTGTGGTGAGTCGTTGCGCTTGTCGTAAGTCGTTTGGCTTGTGGTGAGTCGTTTGGCTTGTGGTGAGTCGTTTGGCTTGTGGTGAGTCGTTGGGCTTGTGATGAGTCCTTGGGCTTGTGGTGAGTCCTTGGGCTTGTGGTGAGTCGTTTGACTTGTGGTGAGTCGTTGGGCTTGTGGTGAGTCGTTGGGCTTGGGGTGAGTCGTTGGGCTTGTGGTGAGTCGTTTGACTTGTGGTGTGTCGTTGGGCTTGTGGTGAGTCGTTGGGCTTGTGGTGAGTCGTTTGACTTGTGGTGTGTCGTTGGGCTTGTGGTGAGTCGTTGGGCTTGTGGTGAGTCGTTGGGCTTGTGGTGAGTCGTTGGGCTTGTGGGGAATCCTTTGACTTGTGGTGAGTCGTTGGGCTTGTGGTGAGTCGTTGGGCTTGTGGTGAGTCGTTGGGCTTGTGGTGAGTCGTTGGGCTTGTGGTGAGTCGTTGGGCTTGTGGTGAGTCGTTGGGCTTGTGGTGAGTCGTTGGGCTTGTGGTGAGTCGTTGGGCTTGTCGTGAGTCGTTGGGCTTGTGGTGAGTGGTTTGGCTTGCGTTGAGTCGTTGGACTTGTGGTGAGTCGTTGGGCTTGTGGTGAGTCGTTTGACTTGTGGTGAGTCGTTGGGATTGTGGTGAGTCGTTGGGCTTGTGGTGAGTCGTTTGGTTTGTGGTGAGTGATTTGGCTTGCGTTGAGTCGTTGGGCTTGTGGTGAGTCGTTGGGCTTGTGGTGAGTCGTTGCGCTTGTCCTGAGTCGTTTGGCTTGTGGTGAGTCGTTTGGCTTGTGGTGAGTCGTTTGGCTTGTGAGGAGTCGTTGGGCTTGTGGTGAGTCGTTGGGCTTGTGGTGAGTCGTTTGACTTGTGGTGAGTCGTTGGGCTTGTGGTGAGTCGTTGGGCTTGTGGTGAGTGGTTTGGCTTGCGTTGAGTCGTTGGACTTGTGGTGAGTCGTTGGGCTTGTGGTGAGTCGTTGGGCTTGTGGTGACTCGTTTGACTTGTGGTGAGTCGTTGGGCTTGTGGTGATTCGTTGGGCTTGTGGTGAGTCGTTGGGCTTGTGGTGAGTGGTTGGGCTTGTGGTGAGTCGTTGGGCTTGTGGTGAGTCGTTGCGCTTGTGGTGAGTCGTTGGGCTTGTGGTGAGTCGTTGGGCTTGTGGTGAGTCGTTTGGTTTGTGGTGAGTCGTTTAACTTGCGTTGAGTTGTTGGGATTGTGGTGAGTCGTTGGGCTTGTGATGAGTCATTGGGCTTGTGGTGAGTCGTTGCGCTTGTGGTGCGTCGTTGGGCTTGTGGTGAGTTGTTGGGCTTGTGGTGAGTCGTTTAACTTGTGGTGTGTCGTTGGGCTTGTGGTGAGTCGTAGGGCTTGTGGTGAGTCCTTGAGCTTGTGGTGAGTCGTTTGACTTGTGGTGAGTCGTTGGGCTTGTGGTGAGTCGTTGGGCTTGTGGTGAGTCGTTGGGCTTGTGGGGAATCCTTTGACTTGTGGTGAGTCGTTGGGCTTGTGGTGAGTCGTTGGGCTTGTGGTGAGTCGTTGGGCTTGTGGTGAGTCGTTGGGCTTGTGGTGAGTCGTTGGGCTTGTCGTGAGTCGTTGGGCTTGTGGTGAGTGGTTTGGCTTGCGTTGAG